TACCATATAGTGCAATAATGATTTCAGGAGTGGAATTGAGTAACACTTCTATTTGGATTAAGTGGGAAAGTAAGCATCAGAAGAATGGCAGGCATTAAAAATAATGGAAACCAGGGGTGCCTGGGTGGCTTAGTCAGTTAAGCATCTGGCTCTTGATTTCAACTCAGGTCATGATCTTGCCATTTGTGATATTGAACCCCGTGTTAACTGGCGTTGACATGTTACATTAGTTTCATGTGTATAACATAGTAATTTGATGAGTCTATATGTTATTTTATGCTCACCACAAGTGTAGCTACAATCAAAAAAGTCATTCAAGCAGGAATTTAGAAATAAAAAATACAGGGGCGCCTGGGTGGCGCAGTCGGTTAAGCGTCCAACTTCAGCCAGGTCACGATCTCGCGGTCCGTGAGTTCGAGCCCCGCGTCAGGCTCTGGGCTGATGGCTCAGAGCCTGGAGCCTGTTTCCAATTCTGTGTCTCCCTCTCTCTCTGCCCCTCCCCCGTTCATGCTCTGTCTCTCTCTGTCCCAAAAATAAATAAACGTTGAAAAAAAAAAATTAAAAAAAAAAAGAAATAAAAAATACAAATTAAAAAAAAAAGCAAAATCTTAATTTCTCTGAAGTTGATTTCCTCAATTTTGAGTAGTCAAATATTCCCTTTCATAGGTACCCTTACAGGCTACTCTACCCCAGGAATGGAAAGAAAAATGGTCAATGTGAACACATTTATTCAATAAATGTGTGCTGAGCCAACAAGTCTAGGGTTATCAAAGATGAATGTCTGACAATAATGATTTCTGCTTTCAAAGAGGTTCCAGTTAGCAAGATTATTTGTGTGTCAGTGTATACAAATAAGACCACGTGATGCTCCAAAAGGGAGATAAAAAAATGTTCTGAATTAGGACTCAGAGGCCATTTCTTCACAGAGGATACTTCTTTTATAATAGATTTTTTAGTGCAAATAAAATAAATTGGGGTATAATTAACAAATCACCAAAATACATACATCTTAGGTGGTCTGTTTGATGTATTTTGACAATTGAATACACCCATGCACCGTTACTTGAAATAAGAGAACATTTCCACCACTCCCCAAAATTCCCTCATGTTCCTTTCCATTCAACTCTCTTCCTCTCCCCCTCCAGCAACTATTTTCTGATTTCTATCACCACAGATGAGCTTCTGTGTCTTCTGGGTTTTCACAGAAATGGAATCACGTACTATGTATTCTGTCTCTGGCTTTCCGCCTAATCTGTTTCTCGAAATTCACCATATTATTACATATATCAGTAATTTGGTTTTTTTTACACTTAATACGTTAGTTATGAATTGGGTCTTGAATGAGGATTTTGACAGAGAAAGGGAAATAGGCATCACAGGCAAAGGGAATGCTTTGGGGCAAAGGCTTGAGACTCTGGGAATGGTAAGTAGTTTGCGCTGGATGTAGTATAAAGTTCATGATAAAGATCAGTGGGCTGTGGAGTTCGGTGGTTAAGACGGAGACAGTGCAGAATGCCACCCTATGTGGTAGACAAGAAAAAACCTCTAAGGACTTTTGAATAGGGCAACAATTTCTATTTTAGGAAATGAATCTGTGGACAGTATGAGAGAGACTTAAGAAAAGGACTAGTAGGGTCTGAACCAGGCTGGTGGCAGCAAGAATGGAGAGGAGGGAATGAGGAGGAATACTGAGGAAGCAGGATAAATAGGCGAGTGCTGAAGGAGGTGTCACAGCTGCTTGCTCACACCCCACTCCTAAGCCCTACTGACATGAGCACAGTGGAACAGGTTTGAAAGTGAAGACAAGGAATTCAGTTCTGGACAAGAGTGTGAGGTGCTGTTGAGTCATGCAGGTGGAGATTAATTAACTTGTTTTTCACTTGCCACTGAAAACACTTCCTTATGTTGTTTTATAATCTCCAGTTTGGATATCTATAAAACATATATGATAAAGGTTAAAATTCTTAACATATACATAATGCCATCTTTTAAATGATACACTTATTTAATATCCTCCTAAGATTTTCATTAGAGGGTTACTGCTGCTTAAAAAGTTTAAAAACCACTGTTTCAAAACACTATTTAATGATATGAAAAGATACACTGTCAGGTGATCAAAGAAAAAAAAGCTTGTAGTTTGATTCTATATTCTTAAATTAAAAAAAAATATCTAAAATGTACTCAAGAGGCGCCTGGGGTGGCTTGGTCGGTTAAGCGTCTGACTTCGGCTCAGGTCATGATCTCATGGTTTGTGGGATTTAGCCCTGTGTCAGGCTCTGTGCTGACAGCTCAGAGCCTGGAGCCTGCTTTGGATTCTGTCTCCCTCTCTGTCTCTCCCCCGTTCACGCTGTCTCTCAAAAATAAATCAATCATTAAAAATTTTTAAAACATAAATAAAATGTACTCAACGTGGCGAGCCTGACTGGCTCAGTTGGTAAAGCATGCAACTCTCGATCTCAGAGTTGTGAGCTCAAGCCCCACGCTGGGTGTAGAGCTTACGTTTAAAAAAAAAAAAAGGGCGCCTGGCTGGCTCAGTCGGTTGAGCCTCTGACTTCGGCTCAGGTCACGATCTCACGGTCCGTGAGTTCGAGCCCTGCATCAGGCTCTGTGCTGACAGCTCAGAGCCTGGAGCCTGCTTCGGATTCTGTGTCTCCTTCTCTCACTGACCCTTCCCTGTTCATGCTCTGTCTCTGTCTCAAAAATAAATAAACATAAAAAAAAAATACTCAATGCCTAGTATGTGCCAGGCACTGGGCTAATTTCTTTATAGGTATTAACTCATTCAGCCCCAGTTAACAATCCTGAGGTAGGTTATTAGTCCCACTCTGCAGATAAAGGAAACTGGGTCTAAAAAAAAAAATCAAGACGCTTTCCCAAAGCATCAAGGAAGTAGCTAGGTTTCAATGTGGGTCAGTCTGACCTTGGACTTCCACCATGCTATTCTGCAAATACATATGACTTGGAGGAATATACACCCAACTTCACAGTGGTTACTGATGGGTGATAGGATTACAGATGACTTAAATGTTCTTTTTGTTTTCTGGATTATCTATATTTTGTAATGAGAAGAGTAGCATTTTAAAAAATATTAATTTATTTTGAGAGAGAGAGAGAGCATGCCCATGTGCATGTGGGGGAGGGGCAGAGAGAGAAAGAAAGAGAGACAGAGAGAATCCCAAGCAGGCTTTGTGCTGGTGGCACAGAGCCTGACATGGGGCTTAAACTCTCCAACTGGGGCTTGGACTCTTGAACGGTGAGATCATGACCTGAGTCGAAATCAAGAGTCAGATGCTTAAGTGACTGAGCCACCCAGTTGCCCCAAAAAGTAGTTATTTAAAAAGTCTTTCCAAGAGTTTGTTCCCTATCAAACCACAGGCTTATAAGGTAACACAGGAAAGTGTTGCAGGTATTAGTGCGGGTAAGAAAACAATTGTTATTTTCAATTTCTGTAATAAGTGTATATGAATTTATTTTTATTCACTTTAAAAATTTAATGTACAAAAGAAATTTCATATATGTATGGAACTAATTAATACCTTAATATTAATTTTGATATTCATTATAATAAACATTTTAGTAACTTAAAAAAACCATCTGTATTACTTGAAATTATACTGCATATTATATGAACCACATTTTAGGAAACGTGAATTAAAATCTGAAAGATAGGCGGGGAGGTTTTGTCGACACAGAGAAAGCAGATGATTACAAAACAATTTTAAGTATGTCCATATACGGAGGAAAAGCACTGAAGGAGTTTCCAATTAACTGGGCTTATAAGCACAAGTAAAGTATAAGCTTCGGAAAAGAACAGAAAAAAAACTTCTAAGATAGGAAGGTAAGAAAGAAAAGATGAGTGAAGACAGAGAAACTGTAAAACAGAGAGGAAGTTAGATGGAGAGAAAAAGCCACTTGGGAGAACACTGAAAATAAGTCAGGGGTAAGTAACTGAGCATTGGAATGACTAGTCAGTGGTCTCATAGCTAACTTGCTTGGCAAATTTCCTTGTTCATCCATAGCACCTCTGTTAATTGTACGAGGACCAGTTTTAGAAAGTTTAACAGAATCAGTGGGGCTATCCTACAAAGCACTACATGGTTTTCAGATGTTTCTTGAAGATGGCTCCTTGGGTGGCAAAAAAATTCTTCTTCCCAGTAGAATTCTAGAAGAGCCACAGAATATTTGTTCATGAAAAATATCAGTTAGTTCCATTTAAACAAATTGACCCGATGAAGATCTAGCTTTACTTAAAAGATTTACATTATGAAATCATCTGCCACTTCTTTAAATACCAAGATCCTCCAGTAAAGACATTAATTCATTTGCAGTTAAATATTTGCCTGAAGGTAAATGTACATGCTTTGCTCTGAGCCTTTGCACATTCTCCTCCTCCTTTCCTATCACCTGGCTTTTACTCATTTTTTTGTCTACTCTAAGTTTCAAAGTTACTAGGCAAGACCTTCCATTTTTTTCTTGATAGCACTTACCACAACTATAATTAATTTTTAAAGTTGTTCTTTGAATGTCTGTCTCCCCTGACAGACTGCAAGCTTCATAAAGGGAAGAGGATGCATGTATTGTATTCACTGCAATACAGCACCCAGCTGCATATTTAGCCCATAGGAAGAGTCCAATAAACATCTGTGATTATCTATTTAAGATATTTGGTGTTAAAAGAACACCATCCTGGTAAGATACATAAGACACCTTCGTACATATATTCTTGGCTAAACTCCAGGAAGCATTATAGCTCTCTACTCAAAGATCACAGTATCATTCCTCAGGGATTCCAATAACTGGGTTTTAAGGAAACAGGGATAGGAAAAATTTCAAACTATTCAACAGAAATCTTTAAATTGCATTTCTCTTCTAATATGCACAGATAAATGGGGCAGAAATAAGGACAACAAGTGAACTATAAACTCCACATCACCCTCTAAAAGGAGGATTATTAGAGAGAGCTGCTGTATCTGCCAGGATACAAAATGGAGATCTGGAATGCTGCTTGCTGTGAGGCAATCCAAAAAAATTTTAACAATCCAGCATCACAGAGAACAGGACCTTGGAAGTATGTAAAAAGTGACCAAAATTTACCATTTCAACGAAAGTTACACACACAATGAAGCTATTAAGGGGAGTAACTGATGTAGCAATTTTAAGACCAAGCACTTTTTCATTTTTACAGCAGTGCAGGGAGAGGCAGAAGGAGGAAAATGCGACAGACACAAGACAGAACGAAATGTATGCTCATATTCACTAATAAATACTGCATGCTGACAAGAGTATAATATCCAAATCAAGAGAAGAGCAATCAGTCTGTAATCAAAGTGGGGAAGGGAGGGACTTACTAGTTATTAGCTGGACGCCAGATACTGCCACACTAAAGGCAAGCTAAGAGAGAAAAGAGGAAGGGCACAAGGGACCTCCTCCAGCAGTATCCACGAGGTAGAAACACTGGTCAAAATGCTAGGAAAGCTCAATGGTAGGGGAAAAACCTAGCAGCACAGAAAAGTAAGGCTAAAAGGTGGAAAGATTAACCAGCAGGGAGAAGATATATGCCTCGAGGGCAGTATGTGCAGGAAGCTGATCATTTGGTTTATTAAACCGATTCCTCTCTGCACCAATCTTCCTAGTATTTTTAAAGAGCCCTCTCTGCATTTGCATGAATAATTTTTTTACAGTTGCACTACCATATATATTTAATATCACCTAGGAGAAACTCAAACTTTCAATCTGCTGCTAAATGTCAGCTAAGTGAGGGTAAAGGACAGGTTTAATAGCCCCAAATTATCTCTCCCTCCTTCCCAAATGAGGGATTTAGGTCTGCTAAAAGGTACAAAGTTCTCTCCAGAGTCCATTCCTTCTGCAAGCCATAGGCCTGATACTAGAGGTTATCTTCTTTTCTGTCGTGACTTCTCCATCTCCTTTGTTCTACTTTTGACTTTAAAAAGCTATGTTAGGATTGGCAATTTTGGCTTATTTACCAAAGCCCAGTTTAGTGGTGTTCAAACTGTGTTCCAACAGGGGAGGCCGACTGGGTGGGGCTAGGCACTCCCAAATTCAATTCCATCAGAGCATGCTGTTTTGTATAACGGAGTTCCCAGTAAGAATTAGTGGGGAGAAATTGTTCCACTCCTTTATGGAGTTAATACTTACTACAGTGTGCATTTCAAACCACTTAGTTTTTGTATGTTTTTCACATTGTCTTCTAATGGACTAACGATTAAGTTTCTGGATCTTTTCCCTCTCCGCAACCATACAGACCCCAAAATGAGTGTTTACGAACCAATGGAACACACTGCCTTAGTCGACTTAGTCTTAGAACACTGGGGGCTTTATAAAATAATTACATATTTCCATAGGTTAGTGGTCTATTTTTCATCATTACAAGACAATCAAATTGGGCAAGGACCAAAGCCGGGGGTGTGGATTGGCACATGTGTTAAGAAGCTTTTACAAAGCCGTAGAATTGACAGGTCAAGCAAAAGATGTGTGGACACTACAGTGAAAGGTGTTCTCCTACAGAAACCGAAAGACTTAAGAGCACATTTCCTAACGGGAAGGGCTCCTCTGTCACTCAGAGGCCTCCACGTCCTTCATTCTCAAAAGCTAAGTCTAACCCTTGCTTTGGGGAAATCTTCGAGTCCCTGCTCTTAGTAAAGGGGCAGGCTTCCTATAGGCCAGCAGATTAGGGGTCGCCTATTCCTCGCTTCAGGACAATAAAAGGCTACCGAGATGGCAGGCGTAGGAGCTGTGGCGACGGCAACAGGGACACTGGGAAAAGGGGCAGAATCCGCGCCGTCCAGCGGCCCCCAGGCCTGTCAGCTCCTTACCCACCCTCCCACCCGCCCCCATTCTTCGGTCTAAACTTACCAAGTGAGAGCTACGGCCCTGGGCAGGGAGTAACTGGCCTGGGTCGGGTCGAGTTCCGCTGCGCTTCTTAGAGACGCTGCCGGGAAGAGGCTGAAACCCAGTAGCCACCACCGTCGCCACCGCCTCTGTTACTGGGGGGTCTCGCCTCCATCGCTGGCTGCGAGGACTCTGAGGGCACGTGACCGGAAGTACCAAGGCGGGCCTGCCGGGCACGTGACCCAGAGCGCGGCCGCCATGACACCTTCCGCTAGTTCCCTCCCTCCCCCGCCGGTTCCCGCCTGTTTCATTTCCTTTCGCCGGCCTCAAGCTGTGAAGGGTCCCAGGATCCTGGCTGGCTCACCCCTTTGGCCTAACGCTCCTCCGGTCTCCGACGGCGCTGTGTCTTCGGCCAGCAGCAGCCCGCTGACTGCAGGCCGCAGAGAGCGTAATTGCGACCGCGGCCGGAGGGGGAGGGACCACGCGCAAGCAGGGGGCGTAACCCGTCACGTGACAAGGAAGTGCCGTTAATAGCGGTGTCCCTGAGTCCCCGTCGCTTCTGGATGACGTAAACGCGGGAGGGGAGGTACGGAAGGAGGGAAAGACTCTCCGGTATCGTTCTTAGTTGCTCGTTGAGTGTACGGCTTTTAGTTGCTCGGTGAGTGTCCCAGTGGCCATCCGTGAGAGAGGGTCTGATCTATTGAGAATTGGGGGTTTCCGGCCTTGGAAGTGGTGGAGCGGAGCCGAGACCTCTGGGCTGCGGGTCTGTGAGCCTGGCTTGGAAAACATGGTTACCGAAGCTTCTCTCCTCAAGAGATCTGAATACAGTGTTAAAGATATCGCTGCAGAAAAGTTACTAGTTCCGCTAGGGAGCTTCTTGTGGCCAGGGACTGTGTCCGGCGATGGGTACAAAGAATGTTGACTGCATGATGCATGTATGAATCGCCATTTCTCTGTGGCGAAGCGTTCTCTGATTATTACTTCTCGGGTGGAAAGATCCCACTATGGAATGGTGGAATCTCGTATTTACCCTTCGCATAGTATCTTTACTTTTTGCTTGATTCCATCTTTTCCGTCCACGTAGCTAGTGGGGGGAGAAGGAATGCTGTGATTTGCTTTTAATGTGTAAGCAGCAAACACTGTGGTCCGTTGGTGAAATGAGTACTAGGGCGATGATAAAAAGCCTTTTCTTAATCCTACTACTCGTTTATGTTACCGTAAAGGATTGCATGGAAGTGGAAAGGTGATTAGATTAGGACTAAGGAGAAGTGGATTCTAGTCACAGCTCTACCTCTCAGGAGCTCTGTAACCTTGGGTAAGCCAACCCCTCAAGAAGTTGTTTTACTGACTTTGGTAAGCATTTATAGCCTTCTAATTGTTTAGTTGTTTGTTTGTTTTTGGCTAGAGGTGTGCAGCCTTGACAGAAGTAGTATTTAAACCCAGCTTTGCAGAAAGGTGGGATTTTATTAGATGGATGAAGATTCAGAAAACAGTATCTATTGAACCGCAGAGGCACAGGAAGTTTATACAATGAAAGAGAAACAAAAAATAGCAAGGTATAGTTGGACAATAGGGGTAGAGTGGAAGATGGGGCTGGAAAAATAAATAAGGATGAGATCATAGATTAAGAGGGGGAGCTTTCGAAGGTTTGTACACTGACTGATTTCTTTTTAAAAGTAGGTACTGAAAAAAATCTTGTGATTATGGAAAATTGCAAACATAGACACAAGTAGACAGGATAGTAAAATGAACCCCATGTACTCATAACCCATTTTTAACAGTTGTCAACATTCTACTGTTTTTATTACAGAGAATTTAAATGTGTTGGTACTTTTTATATGCATTGTCACATTTGATTAATAGTAGATTTTTATTTGAGCTCAATTCTATGGTATTTAAGTACCAGCTAGGATGATTATATTTGTGTGAAAATTCCTTTGGGTTTTAGTTGAATCAAAAGTGTGACATGGCTACTTTAAAAACGGTGCTGTTTTAGGTTATAACATAGAAATTTAATGTCCAGATCAAGGAAGTTACTGTTTCTATTCTAGTCTTTGTTATTCAGCCACTTAAGGTGTATTATGTTCAGTTCTAGGCACCATATTTTTGGGCAAACTAAATGGCCTTTGTAGAAAGTTGACAAGAATAGAGGAAGTTAGTAATTGTCGTGTCAGAAATTATCGAAGAATTGGGAATGCTAGATTTTTAGAAGACCTGATAACACCTTTCAAATACTGAAGGGTTGTTTTGGGAGAAGTAAACATTCCTTTAAACCGCAGAAGACACAATTAGAAATAATCAGTAAAAGCTCTAAGGGAGCAGATTTCAATATTAAAGAGAGAGAGAAAAAGAACAAAGGAAAGTATAAATATAGAGTTGGCTTAACTCTATACCATCTTAATTCTTTTTTTTTTTTTAACGTTTTATTTATTTTTGAGACAGGGAGAGACAGAGCATGAACAGGGAAGGGTCAGAGAGAGGGAGACACAGAATCCGAAACAGGCCCCAGGCTCTGAGCTGTCAGCACAGAGCCCGACGCGGGGCTCGAATTCACGGACCGCGAGATCATGACCTGAGCCGAAATGGGCCGCTTAACCGACTGAGCCACCCAGGCGCCCCATATACCATCTTAATTCTTAACCATCACCCCGCAACTTCTCTTGAGAACTGACATTGCTGACACTGTTTCTTTTCCGTTCTCATTTCCCATTAAATATATATTTTTTGAAAATTAGGAACCTGTTAGTTTAGTTTTTTTTACCTCATTAAATTATAACTTGCAGGACACTGAGATCAAGGCCCGATGGCCTATCCACTTCAGAGTTTAAGATCACAAGTGGAAGAGATAGACAATGTGGACTTGATGTCATTCCTTTCCAGCTTCTTTAGGATCTTATACCATGGTTTTATCTTTTTCTTGTGTCTTCAGTCTTTTTCATTCTAAAGACTCTTAGCTACTATTTACAAATCTGTTTGAGTCTCTCCTGGTCAGAAAGTCCAGAGAGATTTTCTCCTTTTCCACCAGATTTCTTGAGTAATTGAAAGGCCTTGTCTTTACTACCTTACTACCCACCACTTTTCTTAAGTCTTTGTTTTCTAGGGTGTGCCCACAGCGCTTCACAGAAATTATGTGATTGCCTAACACCAAATCCTTTGATGTCTTTCTGTTGCCTACCAAATTAAAATTTCTTCAGGTTCTTTGGTTTGAAATGAGAAGTGTTTTATGCTTTGTGTTGAATTACTATTCCACTTTTATTTTTCATTACTCTGTTCCTTGTATCCTGTGTCTCAACCAAAAACTAAACTTGTATTCTCCAAATGTATCCTCTGTATTTTTGCTTATTGCTGCCCTTACCCTTTTCCTTCTGATAAAAGCCTATTCGGCTCCAGTGCTGCTTCCCTTAGGAAGTTTTCAACAGTTCCCTTTAACTCAGTGTGAAATGTGATTCTTCTGTCCTTTAAGTTCCAACATAGCATTCTGCTTATGTTTTCCTTATTAGGTGTGTGTGTGCGCACGCGCATGTTCTTTTTCTCCCTGTTTATAAAGTGACTGATTTCCAGAATTATTTTGTCATTTCTACCACTGTGTCTCATATTTCACAAGGAACTCAATAAAATGAATGAGTGAAAAGAATGATAGTTTTTTTCTTAGGTCAAGAATTCTCAAAAGAAGTCTTTTTCAAAGATTTTATTTTATTTTATGTTATGTTATGTTATGTTATGTTATGTTATGTTATGTTATGTTTATGTTGGAGAGAGAGAGAGTGAAAGAGGCAGAGAGAGGACACAAGAGAATCCCAAGCAGGCTCTGCAATGTCAGTGCAGTGTAGCTCAAACCCACGGACCATGAGATTATGACCTGAGTGGAAATCAAGGGTCGGGATGCTCAACTGACTGAGCCACCCAGGCATCCCTAAAGATTTTAAGTAGTCTCTACAGCTGACATGGGCTTGAACTCAAAATTCCAAGTTCAGGAGTTGCATGCTTCACTGACTGACCAGCCAGCTGCCCTGGAATTCTTAAATATTTTGAGTATAGGACTACTAAAGATTTGGTTTTCTTTTTGGACTATTATTCTTATACTAAGAATAGTATAACGAATAGGAGATAAGACTATATTATGTGTATGCAGTAAAAAACATCGTAAGCTTATGTGTGTTTTGCCATTGGAAGGTACACTCCATGAATGTTAGGACTTTGTTTTGTCCTCTGTTTTATCTCTCCAACCTAGAACAGTGCACAAGTTGGTGCTATTGTAACTGAACAAACATGAGTTCCCTCCTGTGAGTAATGGGTAGAGTTGTTGCACAAAGGAAACTTTATTTGCAGCAAACAAGGAGATCACAGGGAATAACTTTCAAAGCCATGACTCCCTGAGAAAGAGTGAATGTTTGTTTGTTTTAGAGTTAGAATGAGTATTTAGATAAGGGAGACTTGTCACCTCTGTGTAGAGGCCCACGCATGCTCCTTTAGGAAATATGCTTATATGTACATAGTATATCATGTAAAGGAGGCTTGTGCTTCTGTTTAGGTGGAGATTTTCATATTCAAATGAGGTAAAAGTAACTGTCGGTCACTCCCTGGATTACTCCGTAGTCCATCTGCACTGGCATGAGTCGGGAGGTGAGTTCAAACTGGTCAGGGTGGTTTGGGCCACCAGAACTCCTATCCAGGCACTTGTTGCTTGAGGGGTTGTTTCAGTTTCCATCACATGATGCTATGCCCCTCCGGTGTTTTGCCTGAGTTAAGAGGTAAGCTGGAAAGAAGAGCTTAAGGAAAAATGTGGGACAGAGGTTGGTAGGAGCAAGCAGGTGAGCAGTAAAGGTTGAGGTTTGGAGTCTTGCTGGTAACACTATGTACATATTTGTTGAATAAATAAATAAGTGAATACATGTTCTGAAAAAAACCTGTAAATTAAAAACAAGTATAAGCAGTTGTTTCTGAATTTTTCAGTAGTGTTCGCTTTTTTTTTTTTTAACGTTTATTTTGGGGGGGGGGTGGGGAGAGGCAGAGAGAGATAGAGGGAGAGAAAATCCCAAGTAGGTTCCGTGTCATCAGTGCAGAAGAGCCTGACACGGGGCTCGATCTCATGAACGCTGAGATCATGACCTGAGCTAAAACCAAGAGTTGGGCACTCAACCTACTGAGCCACCCAGGTGCCCCTGTAGTGTTTGCTTTTATTCTTAATTTGGCATGTTACAAAAAATGGAGAAAAGTTAAATTAACGGGTAAGAATTTTCTTGAATTTTGTTTCTTCTCTGGAAGCTGGTGCAATTTGACAAAAATATACACTTGAGAGTTGCTGAACAGATAACTCTTGTGTTAGTGTACAAAGTCTTCATTGGTTATTTAGCATTTGCTGCTTTGTATTCCTATTCGTATTCATTCCTATCAGTTTTCTTAATGAAGCTCTTACTTTGAGCTTTAATTCTCTGTACCTTACTTCCCACTTAGTAGGTGCATTCATTCATTTAACAGATACTTACTGAGCCCTTGATAGTGTGGAGAAAGAGATCCAGAGGTGTGTTTCTGTTGAGCACAGTTAAATTATTGGCTGGTAACTTTTGAATTTGCTCATAAGGGTTTATAGTTTGAAGCCTTTACAGAATGTTGCCTTTTAATGAGAGACTCTGAAAGGTAGAGGAAGATTTACAACTCAAAAAGTACAACTGAAGTTGCTATTTACCAAAGAGGAACTTGACCAATTTTTCTCTTACATCCTCCGTTCTACCTACTCACACTGTTAGATAAGTAGAGTGGGACAAGATTATAGAGGGATCTTGAGAATCTGGGCTTGATTCTCTGGGAGCTTCAGAGTCAGGGAATGATACAGTACACGCTGATGGTTGCACATAATGTTATCTATGTGTGTTTTCTTTCCTTGTAGATGCTAAGTACCTCCAAAGTAGGGATCCTTGTTCCTTTCTCCTGTTTCTCCGTGGTCTCCATATATCCATTAAATGCTTGCTAACTAAGCAAGGAGCTTCTAAAAATTATATTTTTTTGCAGGTTTTATTCAGGAATACTGTGCCTGTCACTCAACGTAGTTTCACCTTTCCAGCTAAATGACTTTTGTGCCAGTGATACCGGAGTCCTACAGCCATGTACTGGCAGAATTTGAGTCTCTGGATCCATTACTTTCAGCCCTGAGGCTGGACTCCAGTCGTCTAAAGGTGAATTTCTTGATCCGTGTATCTGTTTCATGTTCATATTTGTATATTTTGTGCACACTGTTATATATGCTCCCTGCCGTCTAGTTCTTTATGTTTAATGGAATCATGAGTATTCTTCCCTGTGCTAGTAATACCTTACATACCAGTAGCATGTTCATAGGTCTTTCTTTTTTCTTTTTTTTTGTATTAAAAATTTTTTTTTTTAAATTTGAGAGAGCAAGAGGGAGACAGAGCGTGAGCAGGGGAGGGACAGAGAGCATGAGGGAGACACAGAATCTGAAGCAGGCTCCAGGCTCTGAGCTGTCGGCACAGAGCCTGATATGAGGCTTGAGCCCACAAACCGTGAGAACGTTTCTTGAGCCAAAGTTGGATGCTTAACCGACTGAGCCACTCAGGCGCCCCAACTCTTTCTTTTTCTTTTTTTTTTTAACTTGTTTTATTTTTTATTTTTTTTAATTTACTTCCAAATTAGTTAGCATATAGTGCAACAATGATTTCAGGAGTAGATTCCTTACTGCCCCTTACCTATTTAGCCCATCCACCTTCCCAAAACCCCTCCCCTAACCCTCAGTTTGTTCTCCATATTTATGAGTCTCTTCTGTTTTGTTCCCCTCACTGTTTTTATATTATTTTTGTTTCCCTTCCCTTATGTTCATCTGTTTTGTCTCTTAAAGTCCTCAGATGAGTGAAGTGATATGATTTTTGTCTTTCTCTGACTGACTAATTTCACTTAGCATAATACCCTCCAGTTCTATCCACATAGTTGCAAATGTCAAGATTTCATTCTTTTTGATTGCTGAGTAATAAATATTCCATTGTATATCTATACCACATCTTTTTTATCCATTCATCCATCGGTGGACATTTGGGCTCTTCCCATACTTTGGCTATTGTTGATAGTGCTGCTATAAACATGGGGGTGCACATGTCCCTTCGAAACAGCACACCTGTATCCCGTGGATAAATGCCTAGTAGTGCAATTGCTGGGTCGTAGGGTAGTTCTATTTTTAGTTTTTTGAGGAACCTCCATACTGTTTTCCAGAGTGGCTGCACCAACGCGCATTCCCTTCCCAACTCTTTCTTGATTTACTTTCTGAGCTATCATTTGAATTCTTTCCCATTCTTGAAAACCATGATATTGATTGTTCAGATTTTTTTTCCTTCACAATAATCTTGCTGTTTTTCCTAAGAAAGTAATGTATTTGGTTGAAAATAAATAGTATAAGTGAGTATACCATGTTGCATTTTAAGCAACATGGACCACTGCAGTTATACTAAGCTCATTACAGAACAAGGAGTTTGATGTACCCTCCATTTTAGGGAACAGAGCAAAAGCCATTAGCTGTGTGGGATAAAGTATGTGCTTCCCTCAAACCCTGAGTTCTTTTGATAAACTCAGGAATGACATAGTGAAGAACAAATCTTATGACCAATTCCAAAATAATTTCATTCTTATACTTTTGCTCCCCCACCCCAGTAATTTTCTAGCCTTTAAGCAGAATAGGATGTAATAGGCAAAGTGATATGAGCAACACTCATGAGGGGTTGATTTCAGTTAGACTTTTTTTTTTTTAAGTTTATTTTTGAGAGAGAGAATGAGCACAGGAGGGGCAGAGTGAAAGAATCCCAAGCAGGCTCTGTGCTGTTAGAGCAGAGCCTGACACGGGGCTTGAACTCACGAACCGTGAGATCATGACCTGAGCTGAAATCAATAGTTGGATGCTTAACCGACTGAGCCACCCAGGCGCCCGTCTTTAATCCATTTTGACTTTATTTTTCTGTAGGTGAAAGAAAGTGGTCCAGTTTCATTCTTTGCCTGTTGCTGTCTAGAGTCCTCAATACCATTTGTTGAAGAGTGTCTTTTTCCCATTTATTCCTCCTTTGTTGAAGATTAATTGACCATATAATTGTGCTTTTATTTCTGGGTTTTCTGTTCTATTCCCTTGATCTGTGTGTCTATTTTTATGCTAGTACTATACTGTTTTAATTACTACCATTTTGTAATACAACTTGAAATCTGAACTTGTCATACCTCCAGTGTTTCCAAAATTGCTTTGGCTATTCAAGACCTTGTGTGGTTCCATGCAAAATTTAGGATGGATTGTTCTAGTTCTGTGAAAAATGCTGTTGGTGTTTTGATAGGGATTGCATTTAAACTATAGATTGCTTTGAATAGTAGAAACATTTTAACAATATTCTGCCAATCCATGAGCATGGAATATCTTTCCATTTCTTTGCATCGTCTTGAATTTTTTTCATCAGTGTTTTATATAGTTTTCAGAGTACAGGATTTTCACCTGTTTGGTTAAATTTATTCCTAGATATTTTATTGTTTTAGGGGTAGTTGTGAATGGGATTGTTTTCTTAATTTCACTTTCTGCTGCTTCATTGTTAGTGTATAGGAATGCAAAAGATTTCTGTACATTGATTTTGTATCCTGTTAGTTTACTATTCATTCATTTATCATTTCTCCTGGTTTTCATTTATCAGTTTTAGTGGTTTTTTGGTGGTGTCTTTAGTGTTTTCTCTATATAGTAACATGTTATCTGCAAATAGTGGTAGTTTTACTTTTTTCATACCAATTTGGATGCCTTCTATTTTTTTATGTCGTCTAATAGCCGTGTCTAGGACTTCCAGTATTATGTTGAATAAAAGTGGTGAGAGTGGATATCCTTGTCTTGTTCCTGACCTTAAGGGGAAAGCTCTGTTTTTCACCATTAAGTATGATGTTGGCTGTGGGTTTTTCATATAAGGTCCTTATTGTGTTGAGGTATGTTCCCTCTAGACCTATTTTGCAGAGGGTTTTTATCATGAATGGATGTTGTACTTTGGCAAATGCTTTTTCTCCATCTGTTGAAATGATTATATGGTTTTATCCTCTTATTGATGTGATGTGTCACATTGTTTGTGAATATTGAACCATTCTTGTATCCTGGGACTAAGTCCCACTTGATAAAGATATAATATTTTTTTGATGTGTTCTTGGATTCAGCTTACTAATATTTTGTTGAGGATATTTGCATCGATATTCATGAGAGACTTTGAACTGTAGGTTTTTGTTTTTGTTTTTTTTGTGGTGTTTTTATCTGGTTTTGGTATCAGGGTGATACTGGCTTCATAGAATGAATTTGGAAATTTTTCTTCCTCTTGTATTTTTTGGAACAATTTGAGAAGAATAGGTATTAACTCTTTTTTTTAATGTTTGACAGAATTTGCCTGTGAAGCCATCTGGTCCTGGACTTTTTGTTTGTTGTGAGTTTCTTATTACTGATTTAATTATTTTGCTGGTAATTGGTCTCTTTAGATTTTCTGTTTCCTCCTACTTTAATTTGGGGAGGTTATACATTTCTAAGAACTTACCCATTTCTTTCAAGTTGTCCAATTTGTTGACATACAGGTTTTTATAATATTCTGATATAATTGCTTGTATTTCTATGGTGTTAGTTGTGATTTTTCCTCTTTCATTAGTGGCTTTGTTTATTTGGGTTCTCTCTCTTTTTTTTAATGAGTCTGGCTACAGGTTTGTCAATTTTGTTGATCTTTTCAAAGAACCAGCTCCTGAGAGCCCCTGGTTTGAGTGTCTGACTCTTGATTTTGGCTCAGGTCATGATCCCAGGGTTGTGGGATCAAGCCCCACCTTGGGCTCTGTGCTGAGCATGGAGCCTGCTTAAGATTCTCCTTCTCTCTCTCTCTGTCTGTCTCTCTCTCTCCCCCTTCTTCTCTCCCCCACTTGCATGCATGCACTCTCTCTCTCTCTCTTAAACACACACACACACACACACACACACACACACACACTCAAAGAACCAGCTCCTGGATTCATTGATCTGCTGTATTGTTTTTTTTTAGTTTCTATATCATTTATTTCTGCTCTGATCTTTATTATTTCCTTCCTTTTCCTGGGTTTGAATTTTATTCTTCTTTTTCTAGCTCTTTTAGGTGTGAGGTTATTTTTCCTGCTTCTTGAGGTAGGCCTGTATTGCTATAAACCGCCTTCTTGGAACTTCTTTTGCTGCATCCCAAAGATTTTGGACTGTTGTGTTTTCATTTTCATTTGTTTCCATGTAATTTTTAATTTCTTCTTTAATTTCTTGTTTGATCCATACATTGTTTAGTAGCATGTTATTTAACCTCCCTGTATTGTGCTCTTTCCAAATTTTTTCTTGTGATTGATTTCTAGTTTCATAGTGTTGTGGTCAGAAAAGATGCATGGTATGACTTCAATTTTTTGAATTTGTTGAGACTTGTTTTGTGGCCTAATGTGTAATCTGTTCTGGAGAATGTTCCGTGTGCACTTGAAAAGAATGTTGCATTCTGCTGTTTTAGGGTGGAATTTCCTGAAGATGTCTGTTAAATTCATCTATTCCAGTGTGTCAAAGCCCCTGTTTCCTTGTTGATTTTCTATTTGGATGATATGTCCATTGATCTAAGTCAGGTGTTCCAGTCCCCTGCTATTATTATGTCACTGTATGTATATATAGTGTATATGTATTTGTATACACACACACACACACACACACACGCACACACTATTAATATATATATTGATTGTTTCCCAAAGGCTTTCTTTTTTTCTGACTCTTCCTTTTACCTGGTAAGGTAAACCTGTCTAAGAAACCCTGGCAGGCTTAGTCTTATTAGCTGGAGTTTAGTCAGATAGCTCTCACTAGCTTCAGGAAAAACTGAGTAAATGAATATTTAGATTTTCCAGCTTCTGTGGTGGAAAGCAAGGTTAAAGAGGGTTGGGAGTGTCTGTTCATCAGCAAAGCAACAAATTTTGCCACAGGGTGTTGGGCACAGCATGGCCACTGTTTTCTGTGGTAGATAAGGAAAGGAATTAGGCTGAGGGTCTAACAGCATAGTGACCTGCATCTGTGTCCTCTATAGTCTCACCCATTCTAAAAGCTGTGGGTGATTTGTGTGCTAATTATGTGGACTAGAAGTGATTCAAGTGAGTAAATGGTTAAAGCAGTTGCTTTATCCCCTGGGGACTTACTTGGTCTTTCATCTTTGTGGTCAGCAGTGGAATGATTTAGCCAAATTACACAAAAGATGAATGATCTGATAACTGGATTTTGCCAGGGGAAAATTATTCATTTGTATAATTGAGCCTATTCAGTCATTTTGAGATTTAATTAAAAATTTAAAACCACAATGTTCTGTCTGTGTCTTGTGCTCGAATGAGAAGCTGAGTGCCATAACATGGTGTCCAGCTGGGCAGGAAGTGGGGTGGGGGAGGAACCTGCTACACAGATCTTAGTATTTATGTCTATTAGTTTCTTTTATTTAGTTACGTGACTACGATCATCTCACCCTTGTCTGTGTACGTGTTTTCAGTGCACGAGCATAGCTGTGTCTCGGAAATGGCTGGCTTTGGGCAGTTCGGGAGGAGGACTCAATCTCATTCAGAAGGAAGGCTGGAAGCACAGGCTTTTTCTTTCACACAGGGTAAGCTTAATTAATCATAGTTCTGTCATACCATTCGGAGTATCTTTCATAAATCCCAATTTTTCCATTATGAATAATCATTTGGAGTAAAAGAGGAATGTAAATCTTGAGATTTAAAAATAAAAATGGGGCGCCTGGGTGGCGCAGTCGGTTAAGTGTCCGACTTCAGCCAGGTCACGATCTCGCGGTCCGTGAGTTCGAGCCCCGTGTCGGGCTCTGGGCTGATGGCTCAGAGCCTGGAGCCTGTTTCCGATTCTGTGTCTCTCTCTGCCCCTCGCCCGTTCATGCTCTGTCTCTCTCTGTCCCAAAAATAAATAAACGTTGAAAAAAAAAATTAAAAAAAAAAAAAAAAGTAAAAAAATTACCATTTTTGAGAAGCCTAATATTTTTCCTTTTGTGTTCTAGGAAGGTGCAATTTCTCAGGTTGCCTGTTGTTTACATGATGATGATTATGTTGCTGTAGCTACCAGGTAAGAAACTGCTTTAAAATTATCTGATCTTTTCTAAGTACATTTTAAATTGACAAGCCCTAGTTATGTGTTTTTTAGGGTGGCTAACCATCCTGGTTTATCTATGACTGTCCCAATTTTAGCACTGAAAGTCCTGAGTCCTAAGGAAATCTCTCAGTTCCCAGCAAACCAGGACAGACATTTGATCACCCTATGGTTTATGGAAAATGTCAGTATGACACAACAACATTTCAGTGGCCTTAAAAGCGAAAGGTAACAGAGATAATTTAGAACATCTTAAGTTCTCTTGTACTGGATTTGTGGACTAAAGAAAGGAAATTAGTACCTTGACTTCCTACTTCCTTTTTTTGACAAATAGGAGTTTGCATATATATTTAATATAACTGATATTGTGATACAAATATATTATACCTTTTTGACCCTTGCCAAAAATTTGCTTCTGTGATTCAATTCTTACAGTCAAGGTCTCGTAGTTATTTGGGAATTAAATCAGGAGCGTCGTGGGAAACCAGAACGAATTTATGTGTCTTCAGAACACAAAGGCCGAAAAGTTACAGCTCTCTGTTGGGATACAGCTATTCTTAGAGTTTTTGTAGGTGATCATTTGGGGAAAGTTTCTGCCATCAAACTCAACACTTCTAAACAAGTAAAGGTGAGAGCCAGTCCAATTCTTTGTGTATGTGGTGAGATAGAAGATCTTGTCTTAACAGAATTTAAGTTGAGGGACACAATTTTATCTACTCTTTCTTGGGGGACTGATCTAGAGCCCACACTATTAATTTTGTGGAGAACTGTTTATGTGTAGCCTGGTTTAGCTTAATACTGTTGCAGGATGGCTTCTGTGAGCTAACTTCAATAATTTGCACATTGTCTATTACAGTACTCTGTAATTTACCTATATGGCGCACTTAAATAAAGCATTACTACTAAACTGTTAATAAAGATAAGATGCCGCTTTATTAGTTGTGTGAATAAAATGACAAACATAGAAATGGTACTACTTGCCCAGGCTCCTATTCTCTTGGTCCCTGATTAAAAGAAACTCATGAGTCTAGGTATATTTTTTTTTACAATGGATGTAACTTACTGTGAACTGAATCTTAAAGGCACCTCCTGGATTGTGCTCAGCTGCACGGGTCCCAGGCTTCCTGCCAAAGTTGTTGCAGTAGAAGGGTTGAGTATCAGGTTACCCTGACAGAATGCTCCAGTCTCTCATTAAGGCAGAGCAGACCAGGGGTGCCTAGGTGGCTCAGCCGGTTAAGTGTCCGACTTAATTTCAGCTCAGGTCTTGATCTCATGGTTCATAAGAGCTCCGCATCAGGCCTTGTGCTGATAACACAGAGCCTGGTTGGATTTCTCTTTCTCCCTCTCTCTCTCTGCCCGTTCCTCACTTGTGTTCTCGCTCTCTTTCTAACTTAAAAAAAAAAAAAAGGCAGAGCAGACCAACTTCTTACAGTCCCTCTCCTCCAGGACTGTTAAAGTGGGGAACTTGGCTTATTTCCATGTAGGATCTTGGCAAAAAAGAAGAAATCTAACTACCATTGGCTAAATTATTTTATTTTAATTAACATATCAGAATATTCTTCTGGTTTGGTCATGGTGACCCTTCAAAGTTGCCACTTGATTCCTAACATATTTTTGATCCCAAATATAGTTGGAACGTTATAGGTAGTATAGTCCTAATATGTCTTTTTTCCGAAGGAAGAAGTACTGTCTTCTGTGTGACAAAATTCTCTCACATGTTCCAAAACTTGTTTCACCTTGTTATTCCAATTTCTAAGATTAGATAACCAGAAACAGTCTTAAGAGTTGTCTTCTACAGTTACGTAACAGATTATTTCACAGAACCTTTAAATGAGTGAAGCTTTGATATCCTAACAGGCAAAATAAATTTTGACCCATTAAAAATTTTTCTTTTGCTGTCCAAAGTTATTTTCACTTCAAAGGTAAAGGAGATCACATGTATATGTAAAGATAAATCTTCTTTCCTTATCATGTCTTTTTTAGGCAGCTGCTGCTTTTGTGATGTTTCCTGTTCAGACAATAACAACAGTTGACTCCTGTGTTGTCCAGTTAGATTATTTGGATGGAAGACTACTTATATCCTCACTTACTCGATCCTTCTTGTGTGACACTGAGAGGTATATTGACCAACTGTGGGTCATAGGTTATGCAGAATTCTAGAACTTTCGGAGACTTAGAAGTCATTTAGTCCAAACCCCTCAGTTCAGTAATACAGATGTTAATGAGGAACAAGCTGTGTGCAAGCTGATGTTAGGGAGTAGGAAAGACATAGAGGAGACTGAGCCAGTGGGCGACGAAGACAGATGTTCACTTAACTCTCCATGAAGTGTGGTCAAAGAGTCATGAGGGAAGGCCAAACAAAGGCCTGTTTTGATATGGGGAATCAGGAAGTCTTTCTTGATTAAATTTGTTGTTGTTTAGATTTGTTGTGTGTTTAGTAGAATGTTACTAATGGGTAAAACTGGGTGAAGAATAAGAACTTTGTGAATATCTATTTTATTGAAATCTCAAGGGTGGAGTTAAGGTTCAGTGAATGGCAAAGAGGTGTATTGGAGGTAGCTGTGAAACACCAGAACAGAAACATCTTGAAATCAATATTATGTGTGACTGTGCTGAAGTTCCTCAGCCATTCTCACTGCAGGGAAATTTTCACTGGTGGTTCTTTTTTCCCCACTACCACATTCTTTAGGACCGGCCACTCTTTAAACTATTTATTAAGGAGAATTTTGAGCATACCTAAAAGAATTGTATGTTGAACCCCCATGAACCCACCAGCCAGCTTCAATAATTTTGATGATGATTTTGGTAGGCTAAATTTGGAGTAAAACAGGAAGGAAGGGACATTTTAGCAGGAAGGAACAGTCTCTTGTGGAAAAGTGAGAAAGAATTGGGCATATTTTAAAACCTTCCAGTCTGGCGTAAGTAGGGGAGTTGTGGAAGATCGAGTTGGTAAATTGGTTCCACAGTGAGAGTGACAGCCTTAAATGTCACATTAATTAGGTGGGGTTTTAGATCATTTTAAGAAGTGTGCTTAAAGAATATCAGGGTTTGAAAATTGATTTCATTAGAACTATGCAGGCTTGGAAAGTCTTTATGTATTTCCAGGACTTCATGTATCTGTTAGAAGGCTGCTATTTTAGAAAGCAGGAGTTGTTTATTACAAAAGGTTTGAAGGAGTGTTTGCTGACTGTCAGGATGGTAGAGGGAAGGTTGGGAAGAAGGTGTACTTTGTATTTATTTTTTTGGATGGGGAAAGGCACGTGGGAAGGAGGCCAGTTATAGCAGGTGGTAGGTGTGTGATATCAGAGAACCTAGCTGGATAGCAGAGAGGCAATGGTCAGTTTACATGAAATTCATGGGAAGGAGGATGTATCTGGTTCTGACTTGTTTCAGACTATATACATCAGTGATGAAGTTAGATTTGGAGAACTGGAGATCACCTAGTGCCACCCTTTCATTGGAGCTTGTCTGATATCACACAGCTGAGAAGAGACAGGCAAGACTACAACATTTCTGTCTTGATTCAGTGCCCTTGCTCTTAACCTCACAGTTACCTCATACATCCTTTGAACGTTTGGACCTTTGGTCATTAACTCCACGCTTGAGATTTTGGGGAAGTATTTGTTAGCTTCACCAAATTCGTAACTATTCATCATCTGTAGGTTTCCAAGTTTACAAAGTGGCCCTGTGTAGAAAGCTATATGATAGACTTTATAAAAAAAGACCTAAGTAAGTAGAGGTTTATTTTTCCTTCTGTGCAGTGGAATTGCTGATCTTCATTTTCCCATTTCACAGGGATGTAGCTAGAGTTGGTTATGAGAATAACATAGATTCTGCTGCTAAAATAACACATTCTAGAAATGCCCACTTCCTGTTAGCTAGAATTCAGTTTGGGGGGACATGAATAGTACAATAATTTTAAAAGTTCATTTATGCTTAATTTTTTTTTTTGTTTCAACTTATATTCCCTCCCAACAAATAGCATTAAAAAAAAAAACAACAAAAACCAACAGGGGCTCCTAGTAACTAACGGAAGTGATAGATAAGAATTTGCTTCTCTTGCCAGCCACTGGCTACTTTGTCAATATCATTGATGAGCAAGGTGGATCCTGGGAAGAAATAGAATAGAAACAAAGAACTATGGTATAGTGGAGAGAACACTGACTAATGGAAACTGGCAATATGGTTTCAAATTCTGGTTCTGCCACTTTTTAAACCTTGCTAAATGTTGGTTTCCCCATCCAGAATAGTAGAAGTTGTATTAACTAAGATAACATATATGACATACTTCATCTTGTGCCTGTTACATATTGTTTGAAAATGTAGAAAGCAAGGTTAATGAGTATACAAATAAGAACGAATTGCCTGTATTTGTTCACTCAACAAACATTTACTGCACTCTTCTGGATCCTTAGTATTGTATTAAGCACTATAGAAGATATAAAGTAAGCAAGAAATATATTTTATTTCCCAAATAAGGAATGTAAGTAATAAATCCATAACTTCTTAGATTGTTCTGTATACATTTCAAAGCACTTTCATATCCATGTTCTCGTGGTACACATAGTTCTCACAGTTTTTCATAGTACTAAAGCTGTGTTACTTTTTACCCATGAAAACAGATAAGTACAAGGATATTGAATTATCTAAGGTCACCTAGTAAATTCACACTAGAGGGCATATTAGGTCATTCTCTAATAGAAGAGTTTGAGTGCATGGAGCACTATAATGTAGTTAATGCTCTCTGTGGGTCAGACACTGTGCTATACATTGGGAAATTAACTAAAGAAGAGAAGCAAATGGCCTTTGTCTTAAGGAAAGTCATAATCTATTGTTCAAAGAGACACAGTTGTCATATATAGGGTAGTAAGTGCCATGGGAAGCGTGTAATTCAGCTTACGGGCATCAAGGAAGTGTCTTGTGGAAGAATGGTGAAGTCATGAAGAATACTTAAGTAAAGCAGGTTTTAGGAAGAGATTATCACCTTCCATTGTTCCCAGGCAGCGTACTAAGCACTTTTGTGTATTTAGTTCATGTAATCATAAGGAAACAATGTTCAAAGTTAGAGTTTCAGAAGGACTTGGCATTTTGAGGAAAGAGCAAAGAGTTTACTGGGTGTTTGTGGCGGGAGAATGGCTGGAAGGCAGGGTTGGAGAGGTAGCTTAGTAACTTCCATGGAGTGTCCAAAGAACCTTTTGCAAGGTGATTTGGGATAGATTTTAAACCACTTTATAATAGGATTTAAGGATGTATGAAATGGTTTGCTAGCACTCATTTTGTAGATTTGAAAGGGGCCTTCACATGAATCCTGAGCCCCTCATTCTGTGGATAATACACTGAGCACTAACGTGAAGTGGTTTGCTTCCTGTTACAGAAATCGTTAATGGCAAATCAGAGCCAAAACCCTATTTGGACCTTTCCATGCTGCTGTTCTTTCCAATATATTGTTGATATGAATACAGAGAGGATATTGTGGGTGTGGTTATTATGGCCATAGGGTTATTATGTCCATTAGTAGTGCCATTTGTTTTTGACTTTTTTATAAGTAAACGTGCTTTCTTTTCTTTTGGGGGGATTAGAGAAAAATTTTGGAAAATCGGAAGCAAGGAAAGAGATGGAGAATATGGAGCTTGTTTCTTCCCTGGAAGATATTCTGCAGGCCAGCAACCCCTAATATATTGTGCTCGCCCTGGCTCTAGGATGTGGGAAGTGAACTTTGATGGGGAAGTTATAAGCACACATCAGTTTAAGAAACTCCTCTCGTCACCACCTCTCCCTGTGATTACTCTAAGGTAATGATTTGTATTGCTGATAGGGACTATCTGAGGAATTTACATGCAGGAGTTCGTTTGAAATCTCTGATATTCTAGACGCATTAAAGATTATGCTTTCTGGGGCGCCTGGGTGGCGCAGTCGGTTGAGCGTCCGACTTCAGCCAGGTCACGATCTCGCGGTCCGGGAGTTCGAGCCCCGCGTCAGGCTCTGGGCTGATGGCTCAGAGCCTGGAGCCTGTTTCCGATTCTGTGTCTCCCTCTCTCTCTGCCCCTCCCCCGTTCATGCTCTGTCTCTCTCTGTCCCAAAAATAAATAAACGTTGAAAAAAAAAAAAAAAAAAAAAGATTATGCTTTCTAAAAGTGAAGTCGAATTTTTACTCAAGATTTAGAGAAACCAAAAAGTCTTTAACCAGCTATCTTTGATACGATTAAAGTAAATTGAATAAAGGCAGATGAGTTAGATGCTGCAAAACTTTTCCTACGTAGAGAACAGCATACTTTTCTGTTGTGGTTAATTCATTAACAGACTGTTTACTTCCTAGATCTGAACCTCAGTATGATCATACAGTTGGATCTTCCCAGTCTTTGTCTTTCCCCAAACTCTTGCACCTTAGGTAAGTTTCTCCTTTTGATCGTTCAAAAAAAAAAAAAAAAAAAAAAAAAAAAAAAAAAACGAGCACTTAACTTTGTCTCTTTGTTTCTTGTTCACGGGTGGGTTTTTAAACGTTGTTTTTGTACTAAGATATTTTTGGAAAATTAGGAAATGACTATGTTACATGACGTGTTCTAAGAGGAATAAAAAGATCATAGAAGTATGCTTCTTTTTTTGTTGTTTCAAATTGACCTAAACCAATTGGACAGTCTATAATTGTCAGGGAACTTCTGACAATTAGAGCTAAGAACTGTCAGTACTCTTTTCTTTTCATAACCTCCCCTGCCTGGTGGGAGGTTAAAATGAAAGCAAGTCTCAGACTGAAGTCAGCCACACAGATGTATGCTTCTAGCAAGTAGGCACAAAAATAATTGTAGAACTTGTTCTTGTAAGCTTGGTGAACTTTCAGCTTCTGTCCTTTAGGTGCTCCGACAAGTACCTTGCATGAAAGATCTGCACATTCAGCTGTATTCTAACATCAGGGTTCAGCTAGCCTTCCAGTTGGATTAGGTGCTAAAGTCCTCTATTAAGGGGCAGCACACAGTGTCACTAAAGGCTGGGTTTGCCAATTCTTATACCTTGTTCTTCAAGCATGGGGGTGCCAATGTATGATTTCTAGCCAGTCTGTATATCTTGAGCTCATTTCATCAATGGATATTATTTCCAGTATCCCTTAGGCTAACACGTAAGATCTCTAATGCAGATTCAGAGAATGTTCTTTAGAGATTGTTTTACGGTGGTCTGTTATAGGGACTGCTGATTGGGTTCTTTCAAAGGCTAACTAACCGCTCTTAGAATGTGGTTTTTTTAAAAAAACTTTTGAAATGCGAATTAATTGCCCCTAACTAATGTAGGTTTATGTCACACTGCCTACACTGACGTATTTCACATTATATTATAAATTCATAAATCACGTTAGTAAATTCATGATTCTCCCTGAAAATTAGGTAAAGCATATTAAAAACTCTCCCTTTATGGTACTTTTTACGATTTCTAATTACATATTCATACAGCATTTACGTTTGTCTTACTCTTAGAGGGTAAGTTCTATAAGGGCTTTGTTTCTGTTTGGTTCATTATATTATTCTTAGTGCTTGGCATAGCATCTGGCACATAGACCCTTCTGACTGTGATGTGATATGTGAGGAAGTCCTTTACTCAAGGGTGTGTTTTCTAATGGAAAGACCATGGTCTGCTTGGCTCTTCTGGTAGAGTTCCTCTTTTGAGTTAAGCTATTTAAAGCTCCTGTTACAGTTTCTGCCATAGCCAACAAAGCCCTTGATGATCTGGCTGTGCCTACTCTTCAGCTTAAGCAATAATTAATGCCAGTTTGAAGCCTTTGCAGACTCTTCCAGCAGGCTTAGATTAGACACTTACTCCTGGGCACTATTGTCACCCTTTTTCATTCCTCTCTCACCACCCCTATTTCACTGTACTTTGAATATCCATTCCAGCACCAGATTGTCAACTCCTTTGCTGTGGGCACAGTGTTAGTCACATAGTAAGCTCTCAAGTAATAGCTCAATTAAAGAATTCAATGAAGATTTTTTTTTTTTTTAATCATGAGTAGGAGGGCTTTTTGTTCCTGTTTGTTTCCTTTTCCCCCCTCACCTATACACTTGTGTCCTATGGTAACCTTTACTGTTACACCCACAAATCCCACAGGGAGGCAAATTTATATGCTTAGTTTTCTTTTGGGTAAATAGTATCCCTTTTCCCTCCTTGAGTTTTTAACCAATGCTCTTAGGCTGCGTTCTAGTCCCTTTATTATCAAAGAAAGGACAAGGGGATGAGGGATGTGTAAATTACAAAGTATCAGCTTTTACCTGAACCTCTCTCCTAAGATTTCCTAAGGAATCTTTTCAAGCTGAGTATCACTTTCAGTGTCAAAATCATGATCTTATAACTCTACTCAGGGGTCCTCTGGCCTCTTGCTTTTTTCTCCTCTGGCTCCTGAAGGTAGCCTTCCAATTTTTCTTCCTTTGGATTAGCATTCTGACCATTTCTTCCATCTTTGTGTCAAAGATTATTTTCCCATAGGGACAGTGATCTGGTCTTATATTGGCAAGATGTTTAATATTTGTGTGAGGATCCAGTTCCTGTTAAATACCACTCCTAGTTTCATAGCCACATGGTACCATGTTTAGTACTCTTGGGGGTATAAAAAAAAAAAAGGTTCCTGTTTTTAAGATTATAATTTGTTGGAGAGATGTGGTATTTCTACAAAAATCTGAACAATAATAAGGAAAAAGGGTTCCAACAGTACAGTACATGACTAAGTGCCATATAAACAGGGTTGACAAGAAGAAGGATGAGTGCAGGAGGAAGAGTAGTTGCCCTCGGCTCTCGGAGGATTCCAGAGGGGCGTGGCGCTTCTGTGATCCTTGGGAAATGGCTAGAGTGAGAGTATTACAAGCTCGGCTGCCCTGACCAAGGGGAAGAAACAGAGTTTACCGGTGGTATATGAGAAATAGTAGCAGCCTTGAGAGGGTAAATGAGATATATAAGCAAAGGAGTATGAAAGAAATGAGAGAGGTGGAGAGTAGCAGAGGACTGGGGAAGGAGGTGGACCAACAAAGTGCAGTGTCCCGGAGTCCAGGGAGGTGAGATTCAGGAAGGAACAGTCCGTGGGGTTTGGCCCCTGCATGAAGATCAAGAAGAAAGGATAAGGAAGGGTTATTTCATTTGGCAGTTAGGAAATATATGACTTTTTGAAAATGCAGTTTCGTGGGATAATCAGGATTCTAGATAATAATAGTTGGTAGATGGGTCAGTGAGGATAAATGAGAGAAAAAGTACATTCTGTGAGGTAGAGAAAAGTCCAGGTTTTGGAGACAGACTGTCCTTGGGCATATTATTTAAGTTTTAAGTGTTTATTTTAAGAAAAAAGGAAAAAACACTTCTATCTTGATGGGCTGCCACAAGGTTAGATAATAGGTAGGGCCTTTGATAAAGCTCCTGGCAGATAGTGGACCAGGAGTTTTCAGCCTTTTATTGCCTGCTCACAACTACGGACATCAAAATATTACCATCCCTAAAAGTGTTTCACTAGAGCAGTGATTTGTGGTGAGGTATGTCATCTGTTTTAAATGTGCCCATTTCATACTAGTTGTGGGGAATTTGGCTGCTTTAACAAACATTAGGTAAGATACCAGCCTTTTCTTTTTCTAGAAGATTTTTAGTGTATGTATCTAAATTTTTCCCAGTTTGGCATCATATTTTTTAGGGGGCTTTTGCTACAGACATAAAAGGGGTGTCAGGACTTGATTAACTGGATCACTGTTGTGATTTTTTTTTTTTTTTTTTTGTACAGTCTCAATTTACTTTTATAGCTGATGTGAGGGTCTGAGTTCAGGGAATTGTATCACAAACTTCTGTATCCAAGCAAACTAGAATTCTCTTAACTTTTCTTTTGCAGTGAGCACTGTGTGGTGACGTGGACAGAAAGAGGAATTTATATTTTCATTCCTCAGAATGTTCAAGTTCTTCTTTGGAGTGAAATCAAAGGTAATTGTATTTTTCTTCCTTATGTAATTTTTAATCTCATGCTTGTGAAGGATTTAGTTATTGTAGGAGAATTCATTTGCAGTGTGAAAAGTAGAGAAATCGAATGAGGTGACATTTCTTATAAAGGTTAACATCATAGACGTTTCCCACCATAAAGTATAATCCAAGCATCCACTTGTGAATTTGTGGTCAGTTATTTAGTTTTTCATGGGTAGTTTTAAATACAGTTTCCATTTGTTCTTTAATATTAGTAACCACTGCTAAGGATTGAATGAGTTAATCTTTTCCTTCTGTTTACCCTGAATTTTGATGTCTGTTGGAAGTCTTGCTTGAACTTCCATTTTGTGTCTTAATAGTTTGAGGTTCAAGAAGTCCTTGTGAGAGCAACAGCATTTTATGTGGGTGAGGCAGAGAAAGTCAATCTCTATGTTTTTTTAGTTTAAACCAGAAATAGAAGACATCTAGCCGTGTTAGCATTGCTACTCAGAGAGTGTATCTTATCTTTTTGGGTCATTTTCTACCTTGTAGAAATATAAAAAAGAGGAACCATTATTTACCAATCTGATCAATATTGATTTCTTGTGGATTAAGTTCACTAAGCGCTTGTCCCTTTAAAACGAGTTTGTTTTTTCAAAAATTGACATATACACTGTATAAGTTTAAGGCATAGAAAGTATTGATTTGATACAGTTACACAGTTAACCCCTGAACAACGTGGGAGTGAGGGGCACAGACAAGTCGAAAATCTGCATGTAGCTTTTGACTCCCCACAAACTTAACTACTAATAGCCTACTGTTCATCTGAAGCCTTACTGATAACATAGTTTACATACTTTGTATGTTACATGTATTATTTGCTGTATTCTTACAATAAAGCTAGAGAAGAAAAAATGTTAAAATCATAAGAAAGAAAATAGATTTACCGTAATATATTTATTGAAAAAAATTCACATATCATTGGACCTGTGCAGTTCAAACTCATGTTGTTAAAGGGTCAACTATATATTGTGATGATTACTATCTTTTATGATGAGAACATTTAATATTTAGTCTCTTAGCAGCTTTGCAGTATATGATACATTAATGTTAACTATAATCACAATGCTGTGTGTGCGTTAGATCTCTAGAACTTATTTGTCTTCTAACTTTGTACCCCTTGACCAACATCCACTACCCCTCCAGCCCCTGGTTACCACCACTCTACTCTGCTTCTACTTGTTAGGCTTTTTTTAGATTCTACCTATAAGTGATATCAAAAACTAGTTTTTTAAGTCCTTTCGTGATGTTCTGCCAAGACAGGTATTTTTCTCATGAATTGTTTGTCAATTTACATGCTGTGTTAAAAATCCATTCATTGGGGCGCCTGGGTGGCTCAGTCGGTTAAGCGTCCGACTTCGGCTCAGGTCATGATCTCGCGGTTCATGAGTTCAAGCCCCGCTTCGGGCTCTGTGCTGGTGGCTCAGAGCCTGGAGCCTGTTTCAGATTCTGTGTCTCCCTCTCTCTCTGACCCTCCCCCGTTCATGCTCTGTCTCTCTCTGTCTCAAAAATAAATAAAGGTTAAAAAAAAATTAAAAAAAAAAATCCATTCATTGACACTAGATTGTAACTCTCAGAACTGTTGTAGTCTGGCCTCTAATGTAGAGTGCTCTTTTAAAGTCCCAATTCCTTTTCATAGAAAGTAGCATTTTATTTTTTTATTTATTATATTACTACTTTTCAAAATTCCAGTGTAGTTAACATACAGTTTAATATTAGTTTCAGGTGTACAGTATAGTGATTCAGTAATTCCATACATCACCCCAGTGCTCATCAGGACAAGTACACTCTTTAATCCCCATCACCTATTTCACCCATCCCCCACCCACTTCCCCTCTGGTACCCATCAGTGTGTTCTCTATAGTTGAGAGTCTGTTTCTTTGTCTTTCTCTCTTTCCTTTGCTCATTTGTTTTGTTTAGAACAGATTTTAAACATAGAATTTTAGATTAAACAGATGCGTTTGTCTCTTATTTTTTTAGAAGTGTCTAAAATATGATTTCTTCATTGAAATGCAAGTATAAGTGAGACAAAATTCAGTCGAGTCAAAATCATTGTAAAAAATGAATTTCTTAGAATAATTGCAGCCCTTGCCAAAATGGAAAAGGAATATTTGCTTAAACTTCTGTGTGTTCACCCCTGTGGTTTTTGTAGATATTCAGGATGTGGCCGTCTACAAGAATGAGCTGTTCTGTTTGCACCTGAATGGGAAAGTCTCACATCTTTCTCTGTTATCTGTGGAACGCTGTGTGGAGCGCCTGCTGAGGAGAGGCCTGTGGAACCTGGCGGCTTGCACCTGCTGTCTTTTCCAAAACTCTATCATTGCCAGCAGAGTGAGTCAGAGAGCTTACATACTCATCTCGGTTGTTAAAACCACCCTAGCCTGCAGGATTGTGTTACAAAGTTGCTTGTCTTTATTAGCAAATGAAGCCCCCATAAATCCCTACAGGAGGCATGGCATATAAATCTAGGGGTGGGTGGAGGGTAAGAAAAAGGGAATATTTCCCACTTAAAAGAAAATTAAATTTTCTCATAAACTTACTTGAATTTCAGACCTTGTTTTAAGGGGGAATGATTGTGTGTACAATAGCATTTAATTCTTAATTTCTAAGATAATTCTCATTAACTCTTTTACTACCTTGTTAAATCTTTTTAAAGCAACTTTGAGGTTTTATGGTCTCTGTTAGATCTCTTTCAGTATATTGGCCACTGAATTTAGATTTCATTATAAATAGTAAGCTATTCTACTTGGTTTCTACTTACCCTTTCATTAGGGAAGAAAATCTTTGACTGTGGATAAGTTGGAGCATTTGAAATCTCAGCTGGACCTCACAACCTATAGTGATCTGATTTCTCAACTGGAAGAATTGATCTTAAAATTCGAACCTTTGGATTCAGCTTGCAGCAGTAGAAGAAGTTCCATTTCATCACATGTAGGTATTTTTACTTTTCAAAGGGTTTATCTGTACAGTAAGGCTTTTCTTCCTCAGGTTGTACTCCTATATCTCCTGAGATCCCAAAGCTTATCTTCTTTCCATGTGATAGATTTAGAGAGAGGGGAGAGTTGTCAAGAGGGGGCTTTCTTTCAGCCGTTGGGCAGCCCTATGAAGCCTCCACTTAGGTATGTCTTGGAGCCATATTTTGTTTCGCCATTGTTTATTATATTCTGTTTTAGTACCTCATATAACTTCCAGCACAAGTTAAGTTGCTCCTAATCTGTGATTTCAGATGCTTCATGCTAATGTGAGTCATAGTGCAGCTCAGGGTTGTCTTCGTGACTCCCCATTCTCACAGCCAGGATTCATGGAGGCAAGCTAGAGAAAGATGTTAGTGTGACGTCATCAGCATGTGAGGGTGGTCCAGCTGCCGGAAGCCTAAACCTTGCTCACCAGTTTGTTCTATTAAGCCATAATTGTTGTTATTGACTTGCTACTTACTCGTGTTGGTTTTTCTCTTTAAAAACCATTTTTGTGTTATGAAGGAAAGTTTCATTTTGATTTTTTTGGGATTCTTTTTATTTTTAGGAAAGTTTCAGCATCTTGGACTCCGGTATTTATCGTATCATTAGTAGTAGAAGAAGCAGTCAGTCAGATGAAGACTCTTGTTCTCTTCACAGCCAAACTCTCTCAGAAGATGAGAGACTCAAAGAATTCACCTCACATCAAGAAGAGGACCAACCGGATCAGAGTTGGAGCTCACACGGGAATGAAGGTGATAACGGTGCGTTTTGTTGGTTGCTGACATGAAGCAGTTATATTCTGTGACTTCTCTTTGCCAGGATTAACTTGTGCATTGAGTTTTCTCCATGGTGTTAATAATTTTTATTATGTTGACAGACTTTCCACTCAAACATGTCGATCTGTTTGTCATAGAAGAATGGGTTTAGGTTTAGTTGTGTTTTTCCCCCTCCTGTTTAGGTGAATATTGATACAGTCTGTAATTTTAATCACACATCAAAATGCTGCAAGAGTTAAGAAAGGAAGTCATTAATCAAAGGAGCAGAACAATTTTATCTTGACTAACCAAATTATTTTCCATCAGGCATGAAAAATTACTACAGTTTTGGAGGCCATTGCCTTCACTTTTTGATGTTCGAGTATTCCTGTGACTCAGCTGTTGAGAAGAGCTTAATAAAGACTCTAAACTTCCTTTTTGACTTATGGGGATTCAGGGTTAGTAGGCAAATGAAGGTACCTGCCTCAGTGTTTTATATGTGGACCATCCCGTGCATCTTGTAAACCTGTGCTCTGCTCATTTGTATCTGGCTCAGTTGTGATTTTGGTATTGAATCTTTCATTTCCTTTGGTTTATTCATTTCAGAATTTTTTTAAAGATTAAAAAAAACTCCAGTGTGATTAAATTTTGTTTCTTTTTCCCCTGATTACATTCATCAGACAGTGTTTCTCATGTTCCCGTGACGTTTGAGACAGATAAGAATGAAACATTCCTTCCCTTCAGCATTCCATTACCATTTCGTTCTCCTTCTCCTCTTGTGTCTCTTCAGGCGGTCAAGGAAAGGTAAACTAATTAGTCCTGTCCCTTAACCCTGTTTCTGGTTTCATTTCAGTTGTCACATTAGGTACTTTTGTGCTGAGGATGGAAAGACATTTTGAATAAGAAAAAACAAGTCTTTAGGTTATTTCTCATATAACCTGTTATTTCCATCTTCCACAGTTTGGCTTCCCTCTTTGGGTAGTTGGGTATTTGGGTTGTTACAAATGTGTCTTCCATCCCAGACAGAGTAAAATTTTGAAAAATCTGTTTTTTCCTCATCCCTGATAGTAACAGTTTCCATAGATCATTAGTCATTTTTTTTTTAATCCTTTCAATTTGCACTCAGAATTGGAGACTCTTTGGAAGTCTTTCCAACTACTCCATGGGGCTAGAATTGGCATTCCAGTTTGAGAGCAAAGACTTGTATAGCTACTTAACCACTTATCTGAGTCTTACTGGATACTGTTTTTTTTTGTTTTTTTGTTTTGTTTTTTTTAATTCCAGTAGAGTTAACATACAGTGTTGTATTACTTTCAGGTGTACAGTATAATGATTCACTTACCAGATACGGTTTTGCTTGTAAAGGAGGTTATATTGTGACTAGTTAGCCACTGAATTTCATGAAGAAATTCTGTTAATTTGCTGGGCAGTATGGGGCAGGTGGTTACATGGCCTCCTTTGCCTAAGTTATAGAAACATTGCAGACATAGCTGGAGTTAAAGACTTTTTCTTTAGCACTGAATCAAGGCAGTTTAGTAAATGAAGTGAATTTTTATTGTATGTTTTATGTGGGCCTTATATGAAATATGTAGCTGATTAAAGAAGTTGCTATAAATATAGTCTTTCTTTTTATTAAGTCCAAGTTGCTTTTCTAGGACTAATGGGAACAGAGAGAACTCAGGTACTGAATTTTTTGTTCTTGGGAGTAATGAGGTGTTTTTCATATTAGTCTTTTGGTATTTGACTTCCAGTGTCTCTAGCTTTGTACGTAAAACTACTGAGAAGATTGGCACCCTTCATACAGGCCCTGATTTGAAAATAAGACCAGAACCCAGGGGTGATGAGCAGTTATGTGAAGAGGATATGAGTCCAGTCACTTGCCCAAAAGAAGAAGACACTGAGTAAGCTCTTACATATAAATCTGGGTAAATTCTAGAGGACTGAACTGTCATTTTGAAGAAAGCCATAGACTGTGTGCTATTAGAGAAGGCACACATCTGACCCTGTTCATTGTACATTGTGTAGCTCCTAAAAAATGTGAACACCATAAAGTAAGTTTTGGAAAATGACACCTACCCATAGCAAGTCTATTGAGAGAGAGTTTTAATTTAGCACCTCTTTCATCTGTCCTCTGCACAACATCCCTCCCCTCCAAATCCCTTCAAACTTCTGGGATGTTAGAGAAGACTATTAGATTAAGAGTAGGATTACCAAAGATCTAGGCCTTGTCCTTGCTGTGCTTCTGACTAGCGTGTGGCCTTGGGTAAGTCACTAATGCTCTCTGGCCTGTAGGATGAGAGCATTGGCATTGATGTCATGTCAGCATGATATGCTGGTGGCGTAGTCCTTATGTAGTGGGGTTGTAGCAGAGCCCTTGGTCTGGCACAGTGTGAAATGTCTTGTCCATCTGGTCTCTGCCTTAACTCACAGTTCGTAGGAGCTTAGAAGCTGAGCATTAGAAGCACACCAGCTCAGTACTCACCCAGGAATTGAGAGACCCACAGGCCCAGTTGTAGGTAGACAGATAATATAGGATAATTTCCTGAATGCTTACATTTACAGGACAAAAAGTACAGGTATTGTTGTGGCATTTAAGGCAGTCCTCACTCTGACCTTAGCCCACCTTTCCAGCCTCATTTCCAACTGCATGCTTCTAAGTGTTCTCTATTCTGGTCCTGTCAGAGCATTGGGTGGGTACACTTCACTACCTTTGTTCATGCTGTTTCTTTCACCTGTGCTATTCCCCCCCCCATTCTTTTTATTTTTAAGTTTATTTATTTATTTATTTTGAGAGAGAGAGAGAGGGTGCACATGTGAGGGAGGAGGGGTGGGGGAGAGAGGGAGAGAGAGAATCCCAAGCACGCTTTGGGCTTGAACTCATGAACCATGAGGCCATGACCTGAGCTGAAATCCAAAGTCGTTTACTTAACCCACTTAACCACCCAGGTGCCCATCTCCCCTTTCTTCCTAATACACATACCACCTCCTTGGGAACACTTCCCTTGATTGCCTTATCAGAAAAATTACTCCTTTTTCCGTGCTTTACGAACACAATGTTTGTGCCGCTCTTTAGCGTTCATTTTATTCTCATTTATGTTATGGTTAGTTGTTTGCATGCCTTTCTGTTTCTCTTGAGTTTACTCATCTTGAAGCCGTGGATCATTTTTTATATTCATCTGTTTGTGTCACGTAACGTTCAGTACAGTACGTGTCACTTAGTAAGCACTTAGAAATATTTGTTTAAGGAAGCTCTGATCCCCTCTAACTCTTTTCACACTTCTCTAGGGAGAAAAAAGAAGTAATTAGTCAACCTCCAGAAGAGGACAAGTTCCAAGACCTCAAAGTAGCAACAGCAGAAGCAATGTGAGTATTTATGAACAAGAGAGGTTTTTTTTTTTCAATGTTTGTTTATTTTAGAGAGAGAGAGAGAGAGAAAGCCAGCGAGCGTGAGTGGGGAGGGGCAGAAAGAGAGGGAGACAGAATCCGAAGCAGGCTCCAGTATCCGAACTGTCAGCACAGAGCCTGGCATGATGCTTGAACCCACAAACCATGAGATCATGACCTGAGCCGAAGTTGGATGTTTAACCGACTGAGCCACCCAGGCGCCCTGAATGGGAGAGTTTTATAGTGAATGGGAATGACTTCAAGGTCATCAGGAGTGGTCCTGAGACCATGTGGGCAAAGGTAGTCTCATTTGTAATTGAAATTCAACAATTAGTATTAAAATTACTCTCGTATTGTCATTTTGCTGAGATAATTGTTAAAAGAGTTGAAAAGTAACATTTATTCCAGATAAGTATGTTATATCCAGTAGGTTTGCTTAGCATGAAATAATTTGTTTTAAAAAAACACATGAAACATAAATTTCATACTTGTCTGTCTTGTGTAGGACCAAGCTACAGGACCCACTGGTTTTGTTTGAACCCAAGTCTCTGAGAATGGTTTTACAGGAGTGGCTTTCGCAGTTAGAAAAAACATTTGCCATGAAGGACTTTTCAGGCATTTCAGATACTGGTAACTCATCCATGGCTTCAAACCAGGATGTGCTATTGTTTGATGAGTCAAAAAAGGGAGTATTAGATGAAGATAATGAAAAAGAAAAAAGAGACTCTTTAGGCAATGAAGAAACTGTTGATCAAAGAACATGTGAATCTACAAGTAGTCTGAGGGAGCCCTTGGATGACCTTTTCCAAGTGTGTTCTCCATGCAGCATAGCTAACAGTCTTCAGAAGGATCTGGCTGAATTGGCAACGTTGTGTTTGGAATTGAATGTATTGAATTCTGAGACCAAAAGCACAAGTGGACATGTGGACCACACTTTGCAACAGTACTCTCCTGAAATTCTGGCTTGTCAGTTCATAAAGAAGTACTTTTTTGTCCTGGACTTGAAAAGAGCAAAGGAGAGTATCAAGCTTAGTTACGCTAAAAGTCCTTGTGTTTGGGATACTTTTATTGAAGGATTGAAAGGTAATAATCAGATTGCCTTATCAAATAGAAATCAGTATAGAGGACAATAGCATCTTAGCATTTTTGCATTAAAAAAAAAGATTTAAGTACAAGATTATTTCCATTTTGATCAACCTCTATTCTGTTTCCCACTCAATTTAATTTTTATGGTTTAATTTGCAACTGTATTATAAGAAATTCATTTTATTTCTCTTAAAGTCATACTCAGAAAACATATATATAGCAAAATTGGAGAAGTTGGGATTCAAATGAAATGTGTTACAAATGCAGTCATATAAAAACAAGAAAATCGTTTATGTAACTTACTAATGTAGAGATAATATAGGCCATATTTTGAGTACTTACTGTGTGTCACATATTGTGCTAAACACTTTAAGGAGGTTTCATTTCCTATCTTAGAATTATTTTCAGAGTGGAGGGTGTTACTCCATTTAACGGGTGAAAAGAGTGAGGCACAGAGAGATTTTAATAATTGAGTAGTCTAAACTGTTGGAATAAATGTGTCACAATAACTCAGATGTAGAAGTTTATTTCTTGCTCATATAATATCCAGGACACGTTCCAACTCATTGGGAAACTCGCTGCCATGTGGTAATCTAGGTTGATTTTAAGGTCCTTAAAAGTAGAGATTGTGTCCTGTCCTTTTTTTGTTTGTCCTCCAGTGCTTAACCATTGTGCCATGCACCCAGTAGGTCCATAACTAATGACTGTTGAATGAATGTGTTCATGAACTGAGTATTTACAGCTACAAGATGAAAGGAAAAGGGTGTGCTTTATCTTTCAGAAATGGCAAGTTCCAGTCCTGCGTATATGGAGATAAAGGAAGGAGACCTACCAACAAGATTAAAGTTAGTGAATGACTCAGTCCCCTTTGACAGTCCTTTGTTGATTGCTTATGCCGCCAGGTAAGTTGTCCTCTGCCATTTATATGAACTAAAGTCATGGTGTTTTGTTTTGGCTATGGTCTTAATCTCTAAAGTTTTACTCAGTTGTATGGTGGGCAGCTTCTTGTCATTTTTTTTTTCTTTTTGAAAAAATTGTTTTTTCTTTTTGAGAGACAGAGAGAGAGAGCACGCAAGCAGGGGAGGGGCAGAGAGTGAGGGAGACACAGAATCTGAAGCAGGGTCCAGGCTCTCAGTTGTCAGCACAGAACCTGACTCGGGTCTGGAACTCACCATGAGATCATGACCTGATCCAAAGTTGGAAGCTTAACCACCTGAGCCACCCAGGCACCCCGATTGTCATTTTTATTTCTAATAAATGCTTAGATAATGTAACCAAGTTACATCATCTCATTGAAGTTGGAGATTAACTGGTTTTGTTTTTAAATGCAGATTGTATGAAACATTTGGAGAATCTGCTCTTCGGTCCTTAATCAGGTTTTACCCATCTATTTTGCCTTCGGATGTCATGCAACTTTGTCATCATCATCCTGCTCAGTTTTTGGCCTATTTAGACAGTCTGGTGAAATCAAGGCCTGAAGATCAACGGTGAGGAGGCGAGAATATTTGCAGACTCTCTTTTCTTTTGATAAGGCATTGTTTCCCTTGTATAAGCTGTTGTTATGTTCTTACTGCCACCTGCCACACAATTGACACACCTGTTATGGAAAGGATGATTTTGGCAGTCATGTACCGTTCTTTCACAGTCCACAACACATACCATAAATGTGCACATAGCTAGTGTACTTCTCTTCACTCTGTCTCAGGGATTCTCAGTGAATCAGTGATGATCAATGTAAAATTAAGCCCCTGCTTCACGTCCTACACTAAGGCAAATAAGCTTCCTTGTTGTCTCTGCTGGTGAGTGGATTTATTGCCACCTCTTTGTTGATAATATCCCAGCTTTTTGTGGATCTCAGTCCCAGATTTCATCTCTTTTTTAGACTGAGGTCTCATTTCCTATTTCCACATGGCCCTTGGTTTCAACACCTGCCCCTCCCCCGCCCCCCCCCCCCCCCGCCCTTTCTTCATCTCATTGATTTACATTTGCCCTACTGGCTTTCATTTCTCTTTTTGTTTTAGGCCTTTTGGTATTTTCCTTATTATCTTGAGCTCAACTGTTCATTTAAGAGGCTATTAGATTTTCACCAGCATTTCTAGACATTTTGTAGCGGAGGGTTTTCAAGTCATTTCATCTACTATTTTGGTCCCCTAATAACATTTTCTTCACATTCCTACATTTTATGTTTCCTTTCTCAGCATGAAGATTGGTGATTTTTCTCCCCAACTTTCTTTTAGGCCATCTTTCCTCGAGTCCCTTCTACAACCAGAATCTTTAAGATTGGATTGGCTGCTTTTAGCAGTGACCCACGATGCTCCCCCAAGCACAAGCACTATGGATGATGAAGGAAACCCCAGGTATAAAAGTTCTCCTTCCAGCTCCGATGTTCTCCTAGAATGGAACTGCTTTATTCATTCATAGCATTCTGGGCTTACTTCAAGAATAGCTATGGAAGAGACTGACCCAAGTCATAGTAGTAAGGAAACTGAGTGTACTTCTTAGTGGTTCTGAACATTTTTTGAGTTACAGATTTCCAATGATTCCTCTCAGAAAAATGCACATCCCTGCACAATTTTGTACATGATTGCAGATAATTAAGCTCTTTCATGTATCCACATTAAGAGTCCTTGATGGTTAAACCTGTATTAGAGGGAGGAAATTGTATGTTTTCTTCCTGGAAATTTCTAGACATAGCTTGATTTGGGACTGAAAAAAATAATCCATAAGAAATACATACTGATACATGTAATGTATTAGAAATGTCTCTTGTGTTTACCTCTAAGAGAAGCTTTTTAAAAGCCCCCCCCACCCCGCCATATGCCTATCATATATGCCTAGACAAAAGGTCTAGAAGGAGATACAGTGGCTGTCTATGAGTGAGAATTATAGGCTTCTTTCTTTTGCTTTTTATTACCTAAAATGTCTAATTTAAAAAAATAAACAGGTATTTGTTATAGGAAAAATAGCTATTTTTAATTTTTCAAAAGCCAAGTAAAAATGTTTGAAAAGTATAATAATAATTGATATAATGATATAATGGATATTATAATATAAAAATATAATAACAATGGGAAAAATAAGTGACAATATGTTAATTATGTGACAAATATAATTAAACTCTATACTTCTCTATTAGATGGTGCATAAGCATTTTGTAAAAAGTGTTTCTTGTCTAATTCACTGAGAGTTGTTCATTTCACAGGCCCCATTCACACTTGCTTTCCTGGGGTTACAATCAGCTGCTGCTCCATCTCATTAAACTCCCTGCAGATTTTACAACCAAAGAGAAAATGGCTGACATCTGTAGGTCTCATGGGTAAGTGAGAATTGTTTTAGAAGCTAAAGATTAGCTTCTTAGTTCATAACTTTATAGTGAAGGACCTGAACTGATATGCTTTATCATTTGGGAATTCTCTTTACTACAGAGAAGTGACTTTTATTTTAAGTGATAGTAAAGTAGACGCCTTTTTCTTTTAAAATTTTATACATATTTTTCTTTTGTGTAGAAGACATTGGCCTTTGCTAATTCCTCTCTCCCCCTGGTCCTTGGTAGCTAACTCCAGTTCTCAGGCACTTGGATGGTATTTAATTAAGCACCAGACTATGTGCTAAAAGTTACAGTTGATACAGGGTTCCTGAGAAGGGAGAGATTAGAATGTGCTCAATAGAATTGTTGGTGAAGGACTTAGGGAGGAGGGAGGAGACTTTGGAGGTAAAGCCCTGAAGGCTGGACAGGATTTGTATTGATAAAGGAGCCCAAGAGGAGGGTGGGTCAGGTGAGAGAAACAGCAAGAACAAGGGCATGAGAAACTGACCATTGCTTTTTATCCATACCGCATATTAGTTAGTTATTGCCTGGCAGTGTTATCTTATGGCTCTACCTGGATTATAATCTTTTGGAGATAGGGACCAATGTCTTTCTTTTTCTTTGTAATTCCTAATTCATACAGTGATAGGTACTTGATACATATTTGTTTATTGATAATAAGGGATGAAACTAGCCAGGTGTGGTAGGTGATGAGATCATGTAGGACCTTGAAAGCTCCTCAGAAGAATTTATTGGTACAGAAATGACATGATAAAAATGGAGCTTTCTGAAAAATCATCTCTGGTGTTGGAGGTAGGAGGGCCAGCTAGGAAGCTGTCATAGTAATTCAGGTATGACTGAATTGGTGATGAGTATGGCAGCAGAAGGAGCACATCCAAGGGACATTCTGAGGGAAAATACAGTGGAACTTATAAACCATGGGTATAGCAAATAAAAGAGGGGGAAGAGTCAAGGAGAACTTACATAGTTTGCATATTTGGGGAAGAAATCTGAAAGTTTATAAAGTATATATAAGCTTACACATCTCATAACTAGTGCTTGGCCTCAAATATCAGTATTTATCTCTAGCTTTTATTCTTTTTTTCGTACACACTCTAGATCGAGGCTGTCTAATAGAGTTGTCTATTAGATAATAGGAATATTATCTAGTTATTTCTAATTATTTCTATTATCTATTAGATAATAGAATAATGCTACCACATTGTCCAATATGGTAGCCATTAGCCACTTGAAAACTTGAAATATAGATTAGTCCACTGAAGAACTGGCTTTTTATTTAATTTAAATTTAAGGCTAATGTCTACTTTATTGGACAGCACAGCTCCAGATAAATTCACTGTTTTTATTCCTTTCTTCAATTTTTGTTTCTTTAAAGTTTCTGGCCTGGGTATCTTACTCTTTGTTTGGAGCTGGAGAGAAGAAGAGAGGCCTTCACCAACATTGTGTGTCTAAACGATATGAGCCTGATGGAAGGGGACAATGGTATGTAGGTCCCAGTTGGTTCCTTTTGGTTGTAGTATATTAGAAGCCACTGCAGAATTTTCAAAAAGGATACTTGGTTGAACATTTCAGTGATCCTGTATGTAATCCTGGTTAGCTGTCAAATTTGTGGAGGTTTGTTTTGTTTTGCTTTGTTATTTATTTATTTACTTATTTTTTATTTATTTAATTTATTAAGAGAGAGAGCATGAGCTGGGGAGGGCAGAGAAAGAGAGAGAATCCCAAGCAGGCTCTGCACTCTCAGTGCAGAGCGCATCTCAGGGCTTGATCTCATGAACCATGAGACTGTGACCTGAGCCAAAATGAAGAGTTGGACGCCTAACCAACTGAGCCACCCAGGTGCCCATTGTTTTGTTTTGGTTTTTATCAGTACCGCTTAGTATGTTATAAAATCATAATTAGAATAAACTATAGGCAATTTTTTCTATTAACAAGTGCCTACTATGTGTTAGTCACTACACTAGACACTTTTCCATCTGCTGTTTAAATAACAAACCTTTGGGATATTTACTGTTATTTCTGTTTTACAGAAGTTATAATTGAGGTCTGGGGGAAGGACAGTTAGTTTCCCCAAAGCCATACAACTGGTGGAACAGGTGTTCAGACCCACTGACTGTTCAGTCTCACTGACTGTCTTTAAAGTTTGTGCTCAGAATCTTTTCTCTGCACCGTTGCCTTTTACACAGCCAACAGTTCAGTATCATTAAAATGAACTTAAAGTGGAGTGGCAGCCAGCTTTCCCAAGTATTTAAATGCTTAAAAATTGTTTTTAAATTTTTATCAATCCAACACAGATAAAATGACAGAAGGCCAGGGATTTGACACACTGATATCTGAGGTCTGAGAGTCCATCTTGGTCTGTTTTCTCATGTTGCTTTATTCCTCTCAGTGCAAAGATGCCAACTGCATGACATCAGGGTCCTTCATTCAGCAGTGTGACCTATAGCCTTTTGCAGCTCTATTGGTGTGGGAGAGGGAAAGTTAGAACAGAGCAAAAAAGCCAGTTCACTGGCAAGTGTTAGTTAGCTTCAGATGTCCCAACTATTGCAAAAATAATTATCATGTTTGTTTCAGAAATGAAGAGGAGGGGGGCGCCTGGGTGGCTCAGTTGGTTGGGCGTCCGACTTCGGCTGAGGGCATGATCTCGTGGTTCATGAGTTCAAGCCCCGCATTGGGCTCTGTGCTGACAGCTCAGAGCCTGGAGCCTGCTTCAGATTCTGTGTCTCCCTCTCTCTGCTCCTCCCCACTCACGCTCGCTTGCTCTCTCTCTCTCTCTCTCTTTCAAAAATAAATAAAGCTTAAAAAAAATTTTTTTTAAAAAGAAACAAAGAGGAGGGCCAGGTGATTCTGCAGGACTAAAACTATAAACATACATATCCTTCTGGAAAATAACAGAATAGTTAAGATGACATAGTTAACAGATAATAGTTAAGATAATATCTTAACATAATAGTTAATATTAACAGAATAGTTAAGATATACATGGTTTACATTTTTAAAGTCATGATACAATGTTGGTTATTGATAAAAACTGAAAATTCAAGAAGCATAAACAAAATAAATCCCACTTAAAATCCTTTCTGCCCATTTTGTTAATAAAATAATAGCTGTTCTTACCCTTGGTGTGTTAAATGGGGGTCTTTTCTTGACACTTCTCTTTTCCCCATAACTCATATTAATTGCTCTTCAAGGCGTTGTTAGTTTTATTGCCGGATGTGTATCTCATATCTGTCTACGTATTTTTGCTCCACCACCAGCTCCCTGGTGCTAGCTACTCGCCTAGATGTCACCTCAGAATAGTCATCTGGTTTCCATTCTCTCCCACCTTTAATCCATTTTCCCTGGAGCAGCCAGAAGGGTTCTTAAAAACAAAAGTTGGATGACGTGGCTCCCTTGAAACATGCTACATGGAAATCAGAATAAAATCCAGGCCTTTGTGCACTGTAGGCCATTCTTTGAATTCCTTGAATTCCAGTTCTGTTCTGTGTCAAGTTGCCTTCCATGTTTCCTTTGTCAGAAATGCAGGCTCCTTCACCCTCCATTCCCGACACCCTGCGACCTCACGCTTGTCCATATGTGAGGCACAGGCATGTGCATCTCTGAGCTTGCCCGGTCTTTCAGCTATTTGCCCATCTATCCCGTCCTCACAGAGCCCTTCTCAGATTCCCCCTAAACATGCCATTCTCTCTGATGGTTCCCTGACCTTTTCCTTTAATGCACTTAGCCCAGTTTATAAGTATAGATTTAGGTCTGTGTTTACCTCCTTTACTAGACTGAGCTCCAGAAGAGTGTAGGGGTCATCATGTCTGGTTGGTCTCACACTGCACATCATGTGCCTAGCCTAGACTGTACCCAAGGAGTCCTAAGTGAGCGAAATGAAGAATTTTGAAGCTAATGTTGTGACCTCTCCTTATCATGAATTACTTATTCAACAAATGTTCAGAAAACAATTTTGTGTTAGGATGATACTATGTTCTTATGTTTTGGTTTTAAATGTTTTCACAATGGTTCTGACTGTCTCCTATATGCAGGCAGAGCATTAAGAGCCATTAGAGACAAAATTGTGTGTTTCTGTGTGTTTGTGTAGGTTGGATCCCAGAGACTGTGGAGGAATGGAAGCTTCTCCTACATCTCGTACAGAACGAGAGTACAAAGCCAGCCCCCCAGAAGTCACAGAATGGGAACTTCAGTGATGGGCCTTCCCCCATCAATGTGGAAAATGTGGCACTTCTGTTAGCTAAGGCCATGGGCCCAGATCAGGCCTGGTCATTGCTACAGGAATGTGGTTTGACCCTTGAGCTGTCACAGAGGTTTACTAGAACCTGCGATATCCTAAGGATTGCGGAGAAAAGACAGAGGTAATAACCTGTCATGCCCTTGTCATGCCGTCTCCGCAGGTGCTTGGGGAATGTGGAAGCTCAGAGATTTTCAGAAGGGGGTGGGGCTGTAGAGATCATTCAGTCCCAGCCCCTCACTAACAGATGAGGGGACTGAGATGCCTCTGCTGATTAAGGTGATTAAGGGAAGAGGCTAAAAGTAATTATTGTGTCTCATACTTGTGACCAAGACACTGTAAGTTCATGTGAATACCCAAATCTGGTGTGTACTCAGTTCTTGAAGACAGTTATTAGTACCAAATATCAAGTTGTCTCAGGGCTTTTTTTGCTTTTGTTTTAATTTTGGTAAAATACAGATAAAATAAAATTCACCATCTTAACCATTTTTAGTTTGGTTCAGTAGTGTTAATTATGTTCATATCATCTTGAAAACCTTAAACTTTACCCACTAAACAACAACTCCTCGTGACCCCCTCCATGCAGCTTCTTGTAACCACCAATCTATTTTCTGTCTCTATAATTTTGACTACAGTAGTCTCTTTGAGACCCTGCTTTCAATTCTTTTGGGTGTATACCCAGAAGTGGAATTGCTAGATCATATGGGATTCTAGTTTTAATTTTTTTTAGGAACTGCCATACTGTTCTCCATAGGGGCTACACCATTTAACATTCCCACCAATGATGCACAAGGGCTCCATTTTCTCCATATTTTCACCAACAGTAGTTACGTTATTACTATTATTTTTTGATAGTAACCATCCTAATGGGCATGAGGTGAGAAGTATTTTGGTTTTTATTTGCATTTTCTTAGTGATTAATGATGTTGAACATCTTTTCATATGCTTGTTGGCTGTTGTATATTGTCTTTGGAGACATTTCTATTCAAGTCTTTTTGCCTGTTTTTAAATCACGTTTTTTTTTTGTTATTGTATGAATTTTTTATATATTCTGGATATTAACCCTTTATCAGATATATGATTTGTGATATTTTCCCCTATTGGATAGGATGCCTTTTCACTGTGTTGATTGTGTCTTTTGATGCACAGAATCCGTCAACTTTTTGAATCCTTTAATTCTTTGTGTGTTCAAAAAAATTTTTTTTGTAAATAGAACAATGAAAACTAAATGTGCTTGTTTCTTTTCTTTGGGATTTCAGAGCCTTGATACAAAGCATGCTTGAAAAATGTGATCGGTTTCTCTGGTCTCAGCAGGCCTAGTGGAAGAAGATTCATCACAATGTCATAATATTTTGAGAAAAACTGAGTCATGCTCCTGAGCCTCCTGAACACATTTGCTGTGGAAGGAAAGGTACCGCCTCAAAACCCTGCCACCTTCCTGGGAATACTTTTGTCAGTGTCCATAACTTCTGTATCTGTGGCTCTGTGAACTCAGTGTTTGTCAACCAGGGTTGAATTTTGAAAGGAATCAGTCCTTGTTTGCTGAATCGAAGTGTCCTGGAGTCAGAATGTGAAAGTTCACAGCTGAATTACAGTATTATTTTCCCCTTGCTAGTGAATCGGGGGAATTATTTTCCTATTGTGACTCTTCATGTAGGAACACAAGTTTCTCATCCTGCTTATAATGAAGACAGATAAAGTCATTGGCAGGAGTTGAATTTTTTTTATATCTTACCTGGGATAGTTGAGAAATTTATTGACATAAGACTGGGCATAACGGAATTAACACATAAAATACATGAAACACTGAAGATTCAGATTAGATATTTACATGAAATGGCCCCATATTTAAATTGAGCTGATTTAAAATATATTTTTCTCCAATATTTGACATTTTCTAATCTGAACATATATACAAATGACTAATTTATTACCAGAAATGTTTTATCTCTAATCTTTCCTAAACAGTGGTCCAAAGGAATCATGCACCTTTAAAAATTATTTTTTTTAAAGCCGTAATAAAGGAAAGCTTAAGTACTAACAAAGACTGCAGCGAGCACTTGTGTCATTGAAGCCATGCACTAGAATGCCACCATCAAGCTCCTGTATGTTTGCATAGCATGTTACATTAATGATACATGTAAAATCTGGTTAAGTTTTTATTTGAATAGAATATGGACATGAGGTTTATTGTGAGCAATTTGCAGGAAGGTGTTGGAGTAAGCTCAGCGTGGAGTAAGAAAAGTGTTGGATACTTTGAATGATTCGCTCCTTTTTTTCATTCAGAACACAGCCAAAGAACTATAGACAGAAATTGCTGTCATGCTTCCATATGATATTCAGATATCATGTAACCAGATGGGTTGAAGACATTATCAGAGAAAGGAGGCTTCACAAAGTTTCTTAGAGTTTTGGGAAGCTTGGAAAACCTAACAATTGTGGTCTACAGTGGGGGTGGGGGTGGAGTGTGTGTGTGTGTGTGTATGTGTGTGTGTGTGTGTGTGTGTGTGTGGTGTTTCCCCTTACCAAACAATTTCCTGACACCAGTTGGGTGTCCTACAATGCAACCCAATTCTGACACTATTGACCCAAAGGCAGCATCAGATCCCACAGGTAAAGGGCTCAGTCCCAAAAAACTCTCCTCCACTTAGGCACTAATTCCAAGTCCAGGTTGTTGACTATACTTCTGACCAAGAAGAAACATTTTATTTACTAGATTGCCAACTTCTTATAAAAGGATGTAATTTAGGAACAGCCAGATAGAAGACACATGTAGGGCAGGGTACGGGGAAAAGCATAAGGAGCTTCCATGTCTGCTCTAAGCGCCACCTTCTCCAAATCTTTATGTGTTCCCAATCTAGAAGCTCTCTGAATCAAGTTCTCTGCGGTTTTTTTATACCTTCATTACAGGGGCGTGATTAATTAAATCATTTGTCGTTAGCTATTGAACTCAATGTCCAGTCCCTTTCCCTTCCTGAGGTCAGGGGTGGGGCTTGGGGGATGAGACTGAAAGTACAAGACACCTCTATGGCACTCATCACTTGGGAAATTCTAAGGGCTTTAGGAGCTCTGTGCCAGAAAAGGGAGGAAGACCAAATATATATTTCTTACTATAAGTCACAATATCATACCTTCCCACTAGCGTTAGCTGGATTTTGGCTGTATTGGATTATGTTGAATGTGAGTCTATACTAAGGTAAAGAGCAAGAACCCTCCCTTCACTGTCTCTCAGCTTTTGTCATTACGTAATGACATACTGTCCACAAGAGAACAGAAGAAATCTCAGGAGACAGCCTGAACTGGCACAGTTGTGCAGTCATTTCCTAACAGATTATTCTAGGGCATATTACAGCAATCCTCATTTGCCAAAAGGGTACAGAGAAATTTACAGCACTAAAAAACATAATCGCATCATCTGAATTTATCTTCCAAAGTAAACCAAGCAACAACAACAAAAGTCCCCTTCAGTTAAACATTTAAATTTCATCAGTCTAGTTGGCTATTAGGCAGTGTTTTCAAATACAGCTTGTATCTTTGATTTCCCTGAAGATGGCTGGACAGTGATTCATGGTTGCCTCAGTTTTAACAGGGCCACAGATTCGCATAGTGGCTGGGAGCTTGGGTTCTGAGGCACACTGTCTAGCTTTGAATGTTGCTGTGTGTCTTTCTAAGTGACCTTGGGAGAGTTACTTTGTTTTTCTGAGTTTCAGTTTTCTCATCTATATTATGGGGACAGTAGTAGCAGTCACTCAGGATAGTTTGAGAATTATCTGAGGTCATAAATGTGAAGCACAGAACACAGTGCCTGGCTCATAGGTTAGAGCCAGCTGTTAGTGACACATGAGACTGGAGTGCAGGGCAGTAGTGCTTGTGACCAGTGCACGGGTAATAAATATTAGCTGTCATTTGAAAGGTATGGAATATCCTTTTACTGCTTTTACCCTGTAGTGATCAGACCCATGTAAACTGGTTTGTATGAATCTGAGAGAGTGAGAAGACCAAAATTGAAGTTAGTAATTTCCTTGTATGTGTTAAATCTGTCCCCGTTCTGCCCAAGGCTCAAAACCTTGTAGTCATCCTTGCCTCTCCCGCTCCTCAACCCTCACTTCGAGTCACCAGATAAATCCTCTCAATACTGTGTTGGTGGTGTTCTCCAGAGGTTGTTTTTTTCTCCAGTCTCCGTTGCTGCCCATCCACATTCTCGTTACTCCTTGCTTGCCTGAACGCTTGGAGCAGTCTTAGTGACCTTTCTTTCTTCATGTCTAAAGTCTTGCCTTCCCCACTGCCGCCACTCAGTCTCAGCTCCTCAAAGTGTAAGCACCTAGGTATCACCCAAGTGAGGTGATTGACAAACTTGCTATATGTCAGAGTCACCACAGGGGCACGTGAAAGATAACTGATTTCAGGGATCCTGGCCCAGACCTGGAGTCTGTACATCTAGGGTCTAATTTAATCCTCAATTGACCTCCCATCCCCATATCATTCCTAGATTTAGATACAGAGTTATTTATCCTGGCTTATAGATGAACCCCTGTCTTGGTCCCATGGGAAGTTAATTAGACATCCACTGTCAGAATCCTTGTCCTCTCGAGACAGCCTTAATCATGCCTCTTCCCAATCAGAAACTTTCAGACTCCCCTCTGCTTTCAAAATAAAACCCAAATCCTTGAGCCTGTCATTGAAGGCCCTCCGTGACTTGTTTCCAAACTCTGTTTCTCGGCTCCAGAGTTTGTCCTTCATCCTGGGTTCTCTGTTTCTTGGATATGCTCTGCACTTGGACCTCTGGTTGTGCCTCTACTTAACTTTGACATGTCCTTTGCTCCAGTCCCCACCTGCTGAAACCCACCAGGGTTCTGTGCCTTCCAAGTTCTATATGTCAAGTTTGGTTGTTTTAAAATGTGATAACATACAGGTAACTTAAACCTTACCATCTTAACCATTTTTGTGGCAGAACAAGGGGCTGAAATCTCTCCTCCTGCCAGGAAATAGTAACTTCAGAGTGGGTTCAGAGCTTTCCCTACCCTTTCATTTAGAAGAAACCTGCATACCACTAAACTTCCCGAATAACACTACAGAATTACAACACACGCTGCTGTGTGAGATGGGGAGTCTGGAGTTTCCAGTCAGCCCTGGTCTAATGGATCAGATACAAACCACAGAAGAAGGCTGGGAAAATTTCCACTTGATAATTCTTTCCAGAGGGCTCAGAGAAGTACTACCTGGCACCACTGTGTCCTAAACAGAGAATGTTTTCCCATCTTGCCCAAGTAATACATTATTCCAGCTGGGCGACTCTGAGTCAGTGTGAATATTCAAGGTGATGGTTCCCGCTGGTGATGCGGCACTGTTACCGGTAGGCAGAGCCTGGGTTTAGTGACATCGTGTCAGTGGTCTTGATCCCCCTGTAGCTTTTCCTAATAAACCTCCTGTCTTTTTAGCATGAAGCCTGTGTAGTTCTGCAGAGCCCCATACTTAGCCAGGGCCCTGGGCCTGCTTGAATGCCCTGCTTTCATCATCTTGGAATTTTTAATAATTTCTGAACACATTTTTATTTTGCATTGGGACCCATTACGTTAAGTAACTGGCCCTGGCTGCCACAGTAGATCTGAGGTGGGGCCTGAGATTTTGCATTTTTTAAAAAATTTTTTTAATGTTTATTTTTTACAGAGACAGAGCATGAGTTGGGGAGGGGCAGAGAGAGAGGGAGACACAGAATCCAAAGTAGGCTCCAGGCTCCGAACTGTCAGCACAGAGTCCGACGTGGGGCTCGAATTCACAGGCCGCGAGACCTGATCTCACAGATCGTGACCTGACCTGAAGTCAGATGCTCAACCGACTGAACCACCCAGGCGCCCCTGAGATTTTGCATTTCTAAGGGGATCCCAGGTGATGCTTCCTTGAATCACCCTTTGAGTAGCAAGGCTCAGTCTGAAGTCTGGTAGCAACCTAGAAGGAATCTGAAGGACAGTATGGATCCAAGGCCCCTGGCAGCTGGATTACTTGCCACATTAAGGGAAACGTGAATTTTTGTATTCCTTAAGCTGTGTTTTTGTTACAGCCAGTTAGCCTTACCCTAATTAGAGGAAGTGAGGTAGAGCCAGTCTCACAACTTGTTGCGTTCCCAGTTTGTTTAGGCTTAAATAATTTTGGAGAAAGAGCCTTCTCTGAAGTATGCCTGGAAACTTGCCTCCAAATGTGTCAAACACAAGCTCAGGCTCTCCGGTTCCTCCTCCAGTGTTGGTGGGTGCCGATTGGAATGGCCTTTTTAATCTTGGAGACTGGAGTTGGAGTTTGAAGTTAGAGGAGAAGAAGATGAGGCA